GTTACCCTTTTAAATACTTGGTAAAGGGGTTTGTTTTAATTGATAGTTTCGGTTTTTACTGCCTCCACTTCTAAAGGCAACCAATGAGAGTAGCAATGCAGCTGTCTCAGCTTACTTTGTGATTTGGTAGCCCTCTGTTGGCCCACCTTTCCATCCTCTTATTCACTGGTTCCATTTTCACATGTCTTGTTGATTATTATTGTAGTCAGATTGTTGAAATTGGCTTTTGCTCAATGGCTTTTACATTAAATGAAAATACAGCATACAATGTTATATATGGTGAGGTTGGCTTCAATTTATGGCATTCCTATGAATGAGAGACCTCCCAAAGATCTTGTTTTTCACTGCTCTGCTCAGGTTTTGGAAACATGGGAACCTGGATTGTTTCCTGGTTCAACCCCTTCCACTTTCTTCAGCATTAGTACCTTTTCCAGTGAGCCATGTTTTCTCATGAAGTGTCCAAATTATAGTAGTTTCAGTTTAATCATTTTGGCATCCCATGAGAGTTTAGGCATGATTTGCTCTGAGACTCATTTATTTCTCCTTTTAGCAATCCATGGCATCTGTAAGACCCCTCCCCTAGCACCCCATTTCAGATGCATCAAGGTTTTTCTTGTTGGTTTTTTGAAATGATTTAGCTTTCATGTGTATACATAGAAATTAAAATACCATGATTTTAATAATTTTGAAGTTGGTTTTCCATTATGCATCTTTATACTTGAGATTCTTATGAATTCTTTTGTGATTGGATTTCCAAGACTCGGTCTTCTGATTTCACAACAATAGACTTCATTTTGGATGGGATCTGAGTCATAATATAAAATATCTTATTTATTTATTACTTTACTGTATTTATATACTGCCTTTCTCACCCTTGAGGTGACTCAAGGCAGTTTACAACATACTAATGGCAAACATTCATTGCCAGCATACAGTACACAAAGAAATCATAATAACTAATTACTACATATAACTATGAACTTAAAATCAAGTAAAAACCATTAAACATAAGATATACATAAAATTTAAACATTCAGACAAGCATAAAATCATCCTAGTATAAATATTAAAATCCCATGATCCAGAAATTGTATACCATAGCCATTCTAAATTGTCATTGCACATGTTCCTTAATTATTGTTTGTACTGCATTATTTTTTTGGCCAAAGGCTTCATCCCACAACCACGTCTTTGTTCTCTTTCTAAAGGTCAGGAGGAAGAGCGCTGATCCGGGGGGGGGGGGATTTCCAGAGTCAAGGAGCCACCACTGAGAAGGCCCTGTCTCTCATCCCCGCTAACTGCATTTGCTATGGAGGCGGGACCGAGAGCAGGGCCTCCCCAGATTATCTTAACCTCCATGACGCCTTCATCATCAGCTATCAAGTTATATAATTTACTTGTATACAATAAAGAAATGTGAGTAACTGAGCAACATACAATTATTTATATTTTCTAAAAGCATATAGATTACATTCTTATACATAACACAGTACATAGACATATCTTTACACAGAACTTTCTGGCATTATATAATGCATTTTCATTATGTTATCCTTGTTAATGAATTAAATAAAATTGTATTCATTTTAGTGTATCCCTGAGGAAGGCCAACTCAGTTAGTGGCCAACATTTGTTTGACTTTTTCAAACAAAGCTCATGGAGCTTGTCTCCTGATTTGCGTTGGCTAAGTAAAGCTAGCAATAATTATACACCAATTTATTTTGGGATAGTTTAGTTCCTCCATTCTGCTTCAGAGTGGTAGATAATAGTGGGAAGTTCAGTTAATGTGTTTGACATTTCAGATTAACCATGGGAAAAGTAGGTTATCCATCTCGTACCTATGTGGGTAAAATTCCCATGTGAAAGACATAAGAAAGTAGTGAAATGGATTCTGCTTAAAATGATGATCATTCTGAACATGAAACATGGGCATAATTTAAACTTAATGGACAGGTTGTGTTCACGATAGAAATGTAATATTTATCCAGTTGGCTCTGTTTTATCAAACTGGTCTGGTAAAGCAGTAGGTTTCACTTGTATAATAATGAATGTTTAGCACATTTGGGAATAAAAACTGTTGGCTGTGTTTGCTTAAGTTCTTTGTTCAATCATTTGAATTGTGCAAATCAAAGTATTTTTAGTCGCTGTGAGACGTTTCACCTACATATTTCTTCCCCCTATGCACAGGTCACTAAATGAATTACATTCACAGTTTTACAGCTTAGCTGGTGTTGGAACTTGTTAAATTGATGCCCACTGATGTTGGAACTCGTAAAACGTTTCCCTGTTAATGTGACCAGGCAGAGTTCACATTGTTGATGGTGGCTTTGATCTCATAAACCATCCCTTCATGGGGTGTGTGTGTTTTAAAAATGAGAGTGTCTTGGAGCTGCTGATACAGGTTTAGGAAGCCTACAGTTGTCCTCGAACGACAGAAAATTAGCTCTGCTGCTATGGCTGGCTGTTGAGAGCACTTCTTAAGTACAGCATGCTTTATTCTCTTTTGAAACAGCACTTGGTAAAATAAAGTAGATTATTCGATATGAACAAATATTTCTAATATGTCTATTACCAAAGCAGGCATTTACCCATTAATTATTTTGGAAAACTATTCCTTCTGTTCTGTAGCAATTCATACACATTCAGTTACATATTATTGTCAGGATGCATGAAATGAATGGCTTTTATGGAACCCCTGCTTTGTAAACATATTTCTGCATGTGGGAAGCTCCACTTGGAAACCATAGGATCTCAACTGGAGAATTTGAAGGCCAAAATAGAAAATTGTGTTAACAGTGCTGTTGTAATTAGTATGAGTCTAGTTATTAAAAGGAAGACCTAATTCAAACTAAAGTCAACTCAGGGTTTTCTGTTGTTTTTGTTTGTTTGTTTTGGTGTCGGGAGCGACTTGAGAAACTGCAAATCGCTTCTGGCGTGAGAGAATTGGCCATCTGCAAGGACGTTGCCCAGGGGATTCATGTCCCCACATGAGAAGCTGGAGCTGATAGATGGGAGCTCACCCCACTCTTTGGATTCGAACTGCTGACCCTTTGGTCAGCAGTCCTGCTGGCATAAGGGTTTAACTCATGCAACTCAGTGAGAATGTTATAAGATGCATTGTTACATAAATTGCATTGGTTCAAGGGTTCTTGTCTGGATAGAATGGACAATGGGTTTTATGTCTTAAATTGCAGCTCGGTAGAACCTCACCATGAGGAATAAATAATGATGGAGCAGGAGGAAGATGTAATGGATCTTTCCTTCCTTCCTTTCCCTATCTCCCTTTACAAATGATTATAAAATATGCAGACCAAAAATTCCTTTCCATATTAACATATTTGTCACATAATAAAATGCACTCTAAGAATGAACAGTATCAGTGCAAAATATTTGTAACTGATTATTACTTTTCAGTTATTCCATTTTTTATTTTAAATACTTTCTGTGTAATCAAGGTTATGGTCTGCTAGCAAAATTAGGCTTATGAGACTTCTGACTGTCCTTGTTAAGTGCCATTGTCTTATAATACCTTGACTCTGACTTTACACTGCTGTTTATAGAATTTAATAAAGTAAATGTAATAATACTGCCGGTGCCTTTAATCTACAGCCTCAATTGAGTTGACCAACAGATAAATAGGACCAGGAATGATAACACGATGGTACAGATTGTTTTTAATAAGCATGTTGTTTAGTTGATCATCCCAAAGCAGTAATGCCTCCTATCCTAGCCTGCCCGACAAATTTATTAATGTTTCCTGCTCCTCCTTTGCCTCATTTCTCTTAAGGATGTTAGTTCCCTGTGGACACATTTCTACTGAACCTTTTGAAAGTTACAGTTTCCAAATTAAATAAAGTAGTAGGAATGGTATTAGCAGAATCAAATACATTTGAGTGTGTTATTGATTGCATGCCACATTGTGTATACTTGTACCTTTGGTCCTTAATGCTGGTAACATCAGCACTACCGCAAAGGGTGGGCAGAAGATTTGGGTTCTCATAAAAGGGCAGCAAAATTTTCGTGATACCAGAGCACTCTGGTACCACAAGATGCAGAGCCAATCTTAAGAAATGGTGTTATGAAGTGGAGTCCGTGACATGTGAGTGTGGAGAACAGCAAACCACTGCAGTCTGAGCCCTGCCACATGCACAATGGAGGACCTTCCTACAGTGACACCAGAGGCACTCCAAGTGGCCAGCTTCTGGTCAAAAGAAGTTTAGCATAATGCCAATTTTTTAACTTTGTGATTTTTATATACATTATAACTGTATTCTCAATCTGCTTTTGACATGATATAAATAAATAGCAAAATTTTAATTAATTTGTTGCTGCTGTTTATTTTGCTACCTTAGATTGAGAAAAAAAATAGTGAGATTCTCTGGCTCACATCTCAAAACAGTTTGCTTAGCATCAGAGACTATTTCCCATGATTTGAGCGGATGGTGCCTTTACTGCTTTGCTTCAGGCAGCAAAATGCCCTGGGCATTAGTGCCAATCCCACATGATTAGGGGCAAGTGTTGATCTTTTGTGCATGTAAGGCTTTTAAAATAAATGTGGATGACAAATGAACTGCAGGAAATAATCTGTAGCTATATTTCTGTGTCTATTCCAATAGTGTATTCCTTGCATACAAAATTAACAAATAATAGGATATCTGGCTTAGGACTGTGAGCAGACTTACTTGCCAGTTGATAAATGTACACATTCATTTTAGAGCTGCCTGTTTCTCATTTAGGTTTGACACATTAAGAGGTGCATAATTAATGGTTGACATTAGTAATTAACATTAACTTTATGGTGCTTAATATGCCATAATTTATCCGTCAAATAACTGGTATGCACGAATGTCTTTGCATGAAGGTTTTAATTATAGAAAATGATCTTTCAGTGCTCGGATTTGTAAAATGAAATGAAACTGCATTTGTCCTTCTGAGGAATTCAGTTGTTTCTCCAGACCCCAAGATAACTGCAGGCTAATGTTGCTTTTGTTCCTCCTTAGGACTGTGCATAAACAGTTAAGCCAAGGGCTGCCATTAGGGAATATGGGCCCAAACGCTCAGGCAGCGTCGGTGGCGAAAGAGCACCATCTGGCTGTGGCCAAAGCTCTCTGGAAAAATTTCTTTCCATTCCTGAAGAGTCAGAGAATGATGCAGACGCCCCCTCCTCAGCTTGCAGATGCAGCTGCAGGTTTGTGCTATACTTCTTCTTCTCCTTTCTGATGTCCCTATCACCTTCTGGTTCTTCTTTGAGAGACTCTCAGGTGATAAAGTAGAACCTTCCTGCAGATGATGGTGTTCTTGTTGGGCACGTTCAGCATTTGTGTCCATGCACTCACTCACACACACACACCTTATTGGAGTGATGTGGAGCACTCACCTTATTAATGGGCTGCCTCTAGCTCTACAACTTGAGTGGCACTTTTCTCCCCTGGTATCATTTGTTACATTCGAAATGTGAGCTATCATCTTAGGCAAGGTTAATGGTTGATGCTTCATCATATTAAATGTAATGCATATTCTCAGAGCTTAAATGAGTTTATTCATAGCTCTTCTGCTTCTACGGATCCCCCCCCCCCCCAATGTTTCCCTTGGATTATAATAATATTCATTTTGTGAATGTTTTTCTACACATATATCAAACATTGCAAATACATGGTATGACATTATGGTTTTGAAATGCACACAAAATACCCTGTATTCCAGAGAATCACACTGCAGGAATGCCACTCAGTATCCTAGCAGATAGAATAACATCTTGAGAGTAAACTGGAAGAGTGGTGACCCTTGGCTGCTGTGGAGCTCTGCTCAGCTAATTCAGTCCTCTGTATTTTGATACAATATCATTTCTTCCATGTAATCCTTAGTAAAATTCCATATTTTAATTCAACAAGGCATGTATCTTGCTATAATGGCACACCAAATCCATTTAAATAATATTTGAAAAAGACAGGTTTAAATTTAAATGTAGCTTACTCTAGCATGAATTAGGAACTGTGTTTATGAACACTCAAAGATCTGATCAATAATGAAAATGAAGTTGGACTTCTGCAGCTTTGCAGTAATTAAAATACAAAAATAATGTTCTTGAAATGAAATGTGTTTTCTAGAAAACAGACATGAAGTAAAAGCAGAAATGTGTTACTCTTGTTTATAAAATGTCTTCTTTGTTTAAATTTTTGATGTTTTTTTTTTAAAAAGCAATCTATTAATTCAGCATTAGAGGTAAGAACCAGCATTAAGAATGTGGAGATATAAATAAGAATTTAGAAGAGTGAGGCAGAGGTTGGAGGAACATAGTGTTAAAAAGTGAACACGGTATCCACTGTTTCATTTCGCTACATCTGACAAAATAAGTTGTCTCCGGCCATTTTCTGAGTGCACAGTGACTCTAGGGCAATGGTTCTCAACCTGTGGGTGCCCAGATGTTTTGGCCTTCAACTCCCAGAAACCCTAACAGCTGGTGAACTGGCTGGGAGTTCTGGGAGCTATAGGCCAAAACACCTGGGGACCCACAGGTTGAGAGCAACTGCTCTAGGGTATTGTAAGGCTAGAATTCCTTCATTTCAATGCAATTTAATATTATCAGTGATTTCATATATATCAGTTCAAAATCTGGGAACATACTCCCGCAGATATGAGGGTTGTATCTATGATAATAAGAACAAAAATATTTCATGCAGGATATAAAGAGAGGCAGCTGCACCAATATCTTATAGTTCCCAGCATGTTTTGAGCATATTGCAAAGAAAAATGCCAGATTACATCCCAAATTTCTAAATAAATGGAAGTTGGGAATGGGAAATCTTCTGAAAATGTTGAACAAAATCCATAATTTCCTTTGGTAAAGTGACATCTTAAAACATACAGGGAAGTAGAAAGTTATCAGTGGCTTACCAGTAGAATAAAAGACAAGAAAACCTCTTGAATTACAGAATCCTGTGGGAGATGCTCGTGATTGAGAAATATAAAAAGTTTTGCAGCTTTTATGATTCTAATCCAGTGTAACTTCCACTACTAGTAGACAAATACCCAAAGGAGGTGGATTTTTAGAAGATCCGTTATTGAAAGAGCCAACAGATAAGCAACACCAGCTACTAGTTATGCTTATGCTCTAAATGTCTCCTCCTCCATCCTTTTTTTTAATACCTTAGGTTTTACTTTACTAGCTTTGGATATGCCCAGTACCTGTCCATCGGAAATTCAACCTCAGCCAGTTTTGTCAATGATGCAGTTGTTTGGATGGGATGATTTGGTTTGTCCCAGGCTTGTTTCAAGATACCTAAGTCACTTAATACAGAATAGGTAAGCAAAATAACCTCTTTGTCGAATAAGAGCAGCCATTGTGCTTGTCTCCTGTTTAATTCTATCAATCAATTTTTAATTAGAATGATTTCAGATTGTATTATATATTGTATTGAGAGATTTGTTGGACTGGGTAATTTTACTTTTAAAATAAAGATAAAATTGCACTCTCTGACCAGTCTCTTTAGATTTTATGGACACCCTATAGATTTGCTGTAGCTTATGCAGGAGTCATGCAGTGGCCCAGGAAAAATCTTTTTGTTTCCTTCTGTTAACATCTGTGTCATATCACCAACTATATTTCTTTAAATTCTTCATTTCCATTTAGTCATTTAGTCTTAAGTTGTCTGTGTTTTAGGAAATATAACTCTAAAACCTTCTTAGTCTGATTGAACAGACAAGTCTCAGCATTGTGGTTTTGTAGTATTATACAGCCAGCCTTTCACATTTGTTGGGTTTAAGGGCACTGAAGCTGAAAAACTATGAATAAAGAAATTGCCAGCATTTTTTTTAATCTAGAAGAACACCTCTCTAGGAATTTTAGATCTTCCAGCACAACTCTGTGGTCAAGATCTACTGGAGGCTAGCCATAGAATCACATTGGAGGACCTATAGATTCTTACAGAGATGTTTTCTCTAGAAATCACTAGGTCCCCCAGCATGAATATAGGTTAACTATAGAGTCACACTGAAGGACCTAGAGTGAACATTGCGTTGTCTGTAATTAGTTCTAACTTTTCTTTCAATTTCTGTGGATGCATCTACACTGTACGGTTAATGCATTTTGACACCCCTTTAATTCCACAGCTAAATGCTATGGAATCATCGGTGTTGTCATTCTTAGAAAGTGTTTAGGCTTCTCTGCGAAAACGTGCTGGCATATAACCAAACTACACATCCTGGTGCCAAACCATGCAGATGCACCTTTTACTTCCATTAGTAACTCAACTGATAGAAAAGCTTCAAAAATTTACGTAGTTTGTTCATCACATGTAAAGGAGATGAAAAACCAAATGAACTTATATTTCAACATAAATGTCTACATTAATGCCTCCCACCTCTCAGAATGTGTGGACTAACAAGCACAAATGTTTTGTCCACAAATGTCCAGGAGCACCTCTAAGCCATGGGTTTGGGGAGGGGGATTGCTGATTGCCATTTTGCTAAATGGCCCACTTAAACACACCCCGATGGCACAATGGGTTAAACCCTTTTGTTGACAGGACTGAAGACTGACAAGTTGGAAGTTTGAATCTGGGGAGAGCGTGGATGAGCTCCCTCTGTCAGCTCCAGCTCCCTATGCAGGAACATGAGAGAAGCCTCCCACAAGGATGGTAAAACATCCAGACGTTTCCTGGGCAACGTCCTTGCAGACAACTAATTCTCTCACACCAGAAGCAACTTGCAATTTCTCAAGTCACTCCTGACATGAACCCTTCTTTAAATCATGAAGTGACAGGAACAAGAAGCTCTATTGCTTCAGTTCTGAAAAATAAAAGATCTAACTAGGTAGAAATGGCCAACAACTATCAGATGGTGGGGCCATTTTTAAGCCCCTTATATTTCAATGGGACAGAGGTTCAGTGAGGGTTGTGGCTTATTGACAACCAAGTTCAACCTCACAACTCTTGGTAGATGCCTTCCCTGCTGTAGAACAAGCTAGTAAAATGTTCTTCCTCATTACATTCCATGTACCAAATGTAGGTAACAGTGTGACTGATTTAGGAGACAAATATTGCATTTAATGCCACAGTGCATTTCCTATCAATGGCAACACTGCTTATGTGTAAAAATGTATGGGAAATTTAGTTGGTAACAGACACCTTTTTTTACTTGATTTGCTTTCTTTTTTTTTTTCATTGCTACCCACTTTTCTGCAGTGTACTGTCTGAAACTCTTGCTGGCATGGGTCAGATGTCCTTCCAGGCCTTGTTGGTACATTCCTGGTTTCGCTGTGTTTTGCAAATGTTTATCTATCACCCTTTTAACATTTCAGTCAGGACAGAAGTTGATCAAACAGCTGGTAAGTGTGTGTCTTCAGTAGGTGAAGAGCAGCAGTTGTAGTTTATATTGGTGCTGGGAGTTCATCAGTATTTTACTTATTCTTTTATTTAATGAAATATTTATATCCTGTCCTGTGTCTAGAGATCTCAAGGCAATGTACCATATTCTGTATAAAAAAATCAGTTTTCTCTTTCACTTTTTCATATAATTAACCCTTCTGTTTCTTTATCGTAATAGCTTCCTTAACCAGTAAATAGTGAGTAAATAGTGGAAAGAGTGTATTTTCTTCTTTTTTGAGGTAGGCACTAAAATAAATGTCTAGTTCTGTACTTCAGATCACAAGTGCTGATTATTATTTTCATTCCACCTACAAACACAATTTTATCCTTAAACCACACTGTTTGTGACAAAAAGAGTGTAGTTAAAATCTCTGAATAGTTAGTCAATCAACATTAAGTTATATCAGCCAAGCATTCCCAGAATGGTGTTTGTCTCATGGACTAGTTTTGATACCAGCAGTAGATGAATTGATTAAAATATCCAGACCTATTTTTTCTCTAATATTTAACTAATTATGTCTCAGGAGCCGATTTCTTTTTCTCCACAAGCATGTGTCTAGTATGTGTTTATTATCTTCATTCTCATTGTGTGATTGCAAATTATTTCTCATTGTATAATTTTACTTTATAATTCTTGCACATAGGAGCCTAATGTGGAGTCATATCATTTTTTTCATTTTCTCTTTCATAACAGAAAAGAATCACATGGATCAACTGGTCGAGCTCACAAGACTGATCTTTAAGCTACCAGAAGTAGAAGATGTTTTCTTGAAAACTCATGTTGATGTTCCTGTCTATAGGCAAGATCCCAAGGAAGCTGTTATTCAGTTTGTGAAGGTATAATCATTCTTATGAGATAGGGATGTAAAGGTTCACTAATGTTGTTCTCAAAAGAAGCAAGATGTGATTTTTAGCTATTTTTTTCCCACTGTAAGAGAATCTGCAAAAAGGGCTTCGTTGGGGGTGATTATATTTGCAGGTCAAAACTTATTCACAAAATCCATGTGGTATTTTTTTGTACAAGAAACAGCATTTTCTGTGCAGAAAACGTTCTAAATTTTAACTCTTTTTTTCTAATCCACCCAGAGCATTTATAACATGGAGGATAGAAATATTGAACATAATTACATACATAGTCAGTTGTTGTTTGCCCATCAGTCATTTTTGACTTATAGCAACTTCATCACAGGGGTTTCTTGGCAAGATTTCTCACAGGAAGGTTACCTTTGCCTTCCTCTGAGGCTAAGAGAGTATAGCATGCCCAAGGTTACCCAGTGGGTTTCCATGGCTAAGGAAGAATTTGAAACCTAGTCTCCAGTCCAAACCTCAAACCACTAGACTATGCTGGCTCTCACATACATACATGCATGCATGTATTCATGCATGCATACATGTTTACATAAATATAAGACATAAAGGCTCGAACATTTAAATGGGAGAAGCCCCCATCTACAGCAAGAAACGACATTTTCTGTTCAGAAAATCAAAATACTTCTGAAGGAGGGCGATTCAATTTTCTATTTAAAAAGACATGTGAATTTAGCAGAGATTAAATTCTGAATTATGAAGATTCTCATCAGTCCTGGATTATATTCACTAGGATTTCCTGGCACTCAATAAAAATGTTTGCCCATATGATGCTTACAATTTTAGAGAGCTCATATTTATAATTTGTGTGATCCAGCTTTGTAGTTTGTCTTACTATTAAAGAAGTGTGGTTCTCCACTTCTTTCTTTTCATCCACCTCTTTTCATTTCTCAGGCCTTTGGGAAAAACTATAGTAGTCTTCAAACACTAGCTGAAAAATCAACCACAGTGACAAAGGCGCTAGAATACATTGGTGACGTATTAAAACATGTAAAACCTTACTTAATGAAGAAAGGACCTGCAGAAGGATTCCATCTCAGTTACAGAATTATAGGTAATCATCATGGGCAATCTTCATTTTCATGTTTTAGTAAACTATTCTATATTGGAGAGAAATGCACCTATTTTAAGAGGGTTTTTTTTTTTTTCAAATTTTCTTTCTATCATAATTGTTTTAATGTGGCTTCAAGTGGAATCCAATATAATACCAAGCAAAAGAACTTTTCCCAGAAGGGAATTCAAGACATAGTTATATAGAATATTTCCAAAAATAGCTTTGAGGCCACCATGGCTTTGCAAAGTTATTTTCTTTTGGGCAGAATCCTAATGGTTTGGTCACTTTTAGTGTTATTTTCCAACACGAAGCTCTTTATCATTCATTTCTAAAGTCATAGTGATCACTAAGGACACTAATCCATTGGCACATTCCGTAATGAAAAGACATTGTGTTTTGTTAAGTAAAATAAGAGCAAAGGGATTCAGCATTTGCCCCTGGAAGCCATGTATGCTGACGCTGATACTTGACCCATTCATGCCAGAAGAGCAGCAATGAAGGAAGGAAGTTGTCCAGTCTTCCACTGATTTCTTCTGTTTCAAATTCACCCAAAGATACATACTGCTGTACTTCCACATGTGTATTTAGGTCAGAGTTGAATGCACCTTCCCTACTCTGGATCAACTAGGTGGCCTTCATAAAAATAAGACAGTCTGGCTCTTCCAGTTACCAGTAGAAAATGCAACTCAGCAGAATGCCTGTTTATGATGTCCTGTCTTCCTTCTCCCATTTTTTTGAATAGTGTCATGGAGTTTTCTTGGTTTTTATCCAACAGGATGTCTTGTGAAGTCATGGGCACCCATACTGGCGACTTCCAAGGCCCAACCACTCTTGTTCCGCATAATAGATTGTTTGCTTTTGCCCCATGCGGTGCTCCAACAAGACAAAGGGCTGCCTGCAGCGATGTTGTCCGCCATTCGGGAGAATCTTCCTCTCTTTGTTCAGGTGGCTCTGTGCATCTTTCTATAACTTGTGTATATATGTATATCATGTTAACTATTACTAATCTACAGCTATTCGGATTGTTAACTATTATAACACTTTCTAACACTGAATGTCATGTGGAAAAGTGCTGTGTGTAAGAGATCAATCAAAAGTATAGTTTTCAGTTGTGAGGATTGACATAGTAGTAGCATAATAGAGTAATATAGATTATTATGCCTCCAAATATTGTACTAAATTATTAGAACAATCTCCAAAATCAAAGACTGAATAGCAGTTAAACAAGGAAAGACAAACCAGAAAGATTATGATTAATAAGTTTTCATTGCTTTGGCCTTCTGTGGCATAATTTTAATATATTTACTCACAGTCATTAAGCACACATTAAGTTGCTTCCCTGTAAATAACTAAGCACTTACAAAACCAATTTACAAAACATTTCAAAGAAAATGACCAATAATATTTCCTCTCTGAAATATATGCCAACTTTGCATCTTAACTTCCTTTTATGACAAAACAAAATAATAAGTTTTAATGCAAATACTTAACAGTTCACCCCTCTACACAATATGTTTATGGCTAATTTCAGTAACTTTTTCTAAAATGGCCATAAGTAATTTCAGTGCAATATTTTTCTTGAGGGAAATTTATCTAATTTGTACTCACAATAATTTGGTTTAGCAGACCAAGCTAGGACTATCAGTTCACATTCTCTCTAACTTTATTTTGAACTTTTTACTTAAATTCAGATCTTGATGCTTCTCTAGAATAGGCTCAACGAAAATCCCAGGTGATTAACAGGAAGACATTGGTTATTATATGTTTTAATATTTTTGCATGGATTTTATAATGTTGTTTTAAATGTTTTAATTATATATTGTGGGTTGTTACAGCATCGAATTGCTGCCAACTTGTAAGCCACCTTGAGTTGCCTTCAGGCTGAGAAATATCGTAAATAAATAAATTCCTTCTGTCTGATATGTCAGAAGAGTCTTGCTCCATCATAAATATTTTTTGAAATCTTCAAAGTCAAGGAAAGTAATGGCCCCACTGTATTTTGCATTGTTAAGGCCTCATCTGAAGTACTGCATTCAGCTGATGTGCACTATTCATTATAATCAGGATATAGACAAGTTTGAGAAGATTCAGAGAAGGGTAACAAGGATGGAAAACAAAACAAATGGGGAAAGCTTGGCTAGGTGAAGAGAAGACTCAGGGGTAACATAAGTCCTTTCTTTATATACTTCAAGGGCTGTCACAGAAGGTAGGACCAAGTGTAGTGGTTGAAGATAACATTTGCGAAGATTTTGATTGAATATTAGAAGGAACCTCCTAATAGTAAAGAGTTATTAGTAATGGAACCAATTGTCTAGAGAGGTGGAGAGATCACCTTCTCTGGATGTCTTCAAAGAGGCTGAACCTGCTGGAAATGATTTAGGTCATATCTGACCCTTCATTGAGCAAAAGAATGGACTAGATGGCCCATGAGAACCCTTCCAATTCTATGGCTCTATGAACCCGTTTTCTTAATTTTAAACTAATTGTGAAACATTTTAACTCCTTTCCCAAAATACATCAGGAATTAATCTACCTAAATTTCCAGCTCAACTGGTGAAGGAATTCCATTATCTACTGCTTTCAAATAGACTTCAAATACTAAATCAGTATTTTAAGGCATAAGTGAGTGTAAGATACATGTTGACCTCCAAGAGTTTTGGATACATTGATATTAGTGCTAGCAGTTTGTGGTAGCAATCAGTGGCATGATTGCATAAAGAGAATTGCTACTCACTGCAAGCTATTTACCAAATGAACGTTCATTTATATTAATGTGAACAAACTTATACACTGGCTAACCGGCCCTCTTAATTCATATTCATACTTTTAATAACTAGAAAGTAGAATTTTTGGCGGTTTTGCTGCCATTAAATACATGCATCTGGGAAATTGTTAAATATCAAGTAGGGAATTGGTCAAACAGTCTTTAGTCTCAAGAACTGCAAAACTGTCAATGCATTCCAAATGCAGTGGACAATGGAACTTTATAATGCTAACTGCAGTTCTGAATCTATTTTTTCCATTTCCATATTGGATTATTGCAGTCATAAAAATAATTTTAGAATGGATTGCTTAAACTATGTTCAATTAAAAAGGACATTTCGTCTTCCATAAGAGCTTTCTTTATTTCCTCTGTGTTCCTGCCAGAATATTTTCCCTTTGTTTCTACTGCTTTGTGCCTGACCATTTTGCTAGTATGAATTCCAAGTAAGAGTCTTCATGAATTTCCCCAGTAATGACCCCTTATGACAGGAGGCTCATGATTTACCTCCATTTCTGTCAATCTCAGAAAGCGCTCTCAACAAAATCTGTTTACACAGATAGGAGAGGAAAAATGCTTAGAACAATCAAAAAGTCACGGATAGAAAACTCTGACTAGAAAACGAGGTGGGAGGAACCACTGCCAGGGCTTCATGTAAAACAGAAAAACCAAAAACATTCATATTGAAAGAACAACCTGAGTAGAGAACAGATGGTTTTATGCAGTTGTTGAGCTGCATCTCTAATGAAATTACTGCTGTTATTGTTAGTAACTTTATTTATATCTTGCCTTTTCACCAAGATTAGGACTCCACAATAAAGATTCCACAATAAATATTACAATTAAAAACATAAAGAAAACAACACATTGCATTATTAGCCATATTAATTACATATACACTAAAAAGGGTTTTAAAAGGTTCAACAATACAGTTTAAAGCAGTACGGCACACCCAGCCCTTTTGTTAAAAGTCTCCCATTCTAAAAGCCAGATAAATAAGACTTTGCCTATTAGTTGAAGTACAGGCAGCCACCAAGTTGCAAACATCTGACTTACAAACGACCCATAGTTAAAACGGGTGTGAACAACACGAACTGAGAGAAATCTACCTCTAGGAAGGGAAATTCACTCCTGAATCAGTTATCATGGGGAAAAGGCATATCCACTAAAGCTTTATCACCAATCATTGTTTCCACAACAAGCATTTTTTTTCAAAATCCAGTTATCAAAGGGAAAGAAATGAGGTGAAATCTTCTGAACAGTGGTACAGACAGCAAAACAAACTTCACAGCAGTGTTAACTCTTCCCTTTGCTATCTAGTGCTAATATATCTGTGTGTGTGTGTGTGTGTGTGTGTGTGTGTGGCTGGAGTTACATTTAAAAATGTACCTGTTCAACTTAAGAACAAACCTACAAAACCTTTCTTGTTCGTAACTTGGGGACTGCCTGTACAGCAAGGAAGGAGTCATTGTAGCCTCCCTAAGGAAGGGGTTCTAAAGGCTATTCAAAGCCTCTGAGAAGACCCCCCTTAGTATTCCCTACAGGTTGGCTCTGAAGATGGTAGGACTGAGAAAAGAGCATCAGGGTCAGGGCAGGCTTATATAGGGAGATACAGTCTGTCAGGTAGACTGGACCTAAGCTATAGAGACCTTTCTAGGTCATTGCTGGCATTTTGAATTGTGCTTGGAAGAAGATCAGCAGCTAGTGGACTATTGGAGATGGAGAGTTATTTGATCCTAGTAGCCAGCCTAAGATATCAAGTGCCCATAACACTTTTAAGAAAAGGAACACTTTCATTATGGTATAACCAATCAAAGGTTGCTGTTTTTCTTTGGTCCCATCTACGCTGCCATTTAATGCTGTTTGAAACTGTGTTACATGGTCAGTGGAGTCATATAATGTAGTTTCATTGCATTGAACTACATTATATGAGTGTACACTGACTATATAATGCAATTGCAAACTGCACTATATTTGCCTTTTGACAAAATCTTATACCCTTTTATAGGTTGAGACATTGTGTTGAAATGATTATATGGGTATACATATATAGATTCCTGTACGACCTCTATCCCACACGTATTCTCATGATTCCTGTCTATCCTGATCCGCTTTTTGTGGACAGCTGGTGACTGCAGTGAGATGGGTTCAGGTGTAGGAAAAGCTCATTTCACAAGCAAAATACCACTTGTGGTTCTTAAGAGTCACATCACAGAATAGTGTAACCCAAATGTTTTCTGAGCATAGTTGCTTCTTAGTTTGAGGGTTTAAAAAATAATGTTAAGATAAATGACTACTCAACATTAATATTTGTAAGACACTAATGTCAGCAGGTAATTGAATAGTAGAGTACTGCAATCCATAAGAACAAGCCACAAAAACTGCTGCCCACAAGAGCACAAGCATTTTTGTGCTCTTGCTATCAGTGTGCTTGTCATTTCACAGAGAGGTTTCTTTGTTGATGAGCCTAAGAGTTATTTATAGCCACATGGTCTTGCTGTAGTCACAAGAGTAAATTTCTTATCAAGCGGATTGCACAGAATTATTCTATTTTCTGCAGTGACTAACATTACTGCTAAACACTCTCTATTCTGTAATCATTTCAGAGTAACTTGTCATTTTTTTTCCATTTACAAACTTTTAAACCATATATATATATAATATCTCTTGGAGAGAAATCCTACTGGAAATTTGATGAAACCAAGAAATAGAGAGCTCCAGTTTCTGAGATTCTCTTTTAAACCAAAACCTTGGAAAATCAACATTTGGCTCTTCTCCTTTTATGGGACTTCTATTTAACTTTTGAAAATAGTTGAGAACCTCTCTTTCCAGTTGTTGCTGGGAATCTTGGTAGCTTAATATATAGTAGCTATACTTTTAAATAGTGTAATAATGCTACATGTTCTACTAGGTTTCCCTAGATCATGCAGTTTTGGAGAATTAAGATTTGTTGCAGATTCAAGACAGACACATTCATGGGTGTGTTTTTTTGTCCTCACATCTGTGGGTTTTTTTTCCCCTTTTCGTTTTCCAGGGTTTGTCCTTCATATGTTGTCAGTCTCAAACACAAGGTGCCTATTTGAATCAGTTGTTAGGGAATATTATCCAACAGTATTTGGGGCGCTTCTTTCCTTCGTCATCATCTGCATCTCGAACTGGGCAGCATCCGATTTTGCTGGCAATGTGCAGTTCCCCCACCAACATGACAGGAGCCTTACATCTACGTAAGATCACAATGCAAGTCATAAGGTAATGTTCAAAAAATGATTTATTTATTTATTTTCATTTTATAGACAGAAAATGTGGCACTCCAAAATGTGTTCTAATGGAAAAACAATGGATAGAGATGATCTCACTAAAATGCATGGTGTGAACATTTGTGGGAAAGCTAAAACTGAAGCATATTGCCTTGTATTTGAGGAGTGTGCCAGTTTGAGAAAATTGCTCCTTATATATATATTTATGTAGTCTATCTGATGGTGTGTGTATGTGTCTCTAAGTCACCTGTGAACTCATGGGGATTCCATTAATTTGGTAGGGTTTTCTTAGGTGAGGAATACTCAGAGGTTTTTGCCAGTTCCTTCAATTAGCTGTTAGGAATTGTGGAAGTTGCAGTCCAAAACACCTGGAGGGCCAAAGTTTGCCCATGCCTGGTCTACAGCCTGGATATTCATTGGTTGTCTCTCATCCAAATATTAACCATGACTGATCCTGCTCATCTTCCAAGATCGGACAGGATCTGCACAACCTGTGGCCCACCAGGTGTTTGAGCATCCAACTCTCAGAAGCCCTAACCAGCTTGTTCAATGGTCAGGAATTCTGGGAGTGAATGCACAACCTGGAGGGCGGCAGGTTGTGTTTTAGGGTATTTACACCCCCTAAGGAGGAGGCATTGCTAATATATTGTTTGGGTCTTTCTATTTTTCTTCCAGTGAAAATTACCTACAGTTCAAAGGCCATGCACCTCCATCTAATCTGGCATCAACTCTAGCTTTTATACTTGAAGCACTGAGGAAGACTAAAACTACTGAAATGTATGAGGTTGATATGCTCCTTCATCCTGTATTGAAATGCCTTCTGTTGGTTAATGAACCTCTAGGTGAGTCTATGAATTTTCTTTTACTTCTATTGATTTTAAAGTGTATTGTGAATTAGAGCATACATGTAGAAATAGATCGTACATATAAATAGTTCACAGTGGGAATTTGGTCTGCAGGCCTATGAGTATTTTTCATCCTGGTAGATGTATCATAAAATGCAGTTAACATTTTAATGCTGTGAATTGGAAAACTTTGCGCTAATATTGGACTGTGGGCCTTTCATTCAACTTCCTTCAGACTGCTTGGTGATTAATTTCTTATAGGGTGATAGAAATACATAGTCTCTTTTTGTTGGGTTGTGATCGTTGCTTTTGATGAGGGTGGGCAAAGCATAGCCTGTAGATCTAATGTTTCCCTGTAACTATTTAAGCCAGAGGTGCAAGAACAACCTTCAAACTTGTTTGTATGACCTCTTCCCCTCATTTAATTGTTTAGCTTTGACTATACCTTGAGAGATATGATAGCTGTGGATCCTGTGATTCATGGCATTTGGTGGCAGCCAAAGTCTTCTCCTCTGAAAATTTATCCGTACCTTCCAAATCTTATCAGCTTAAGATTCAGCTTCATCTCTGGACTGAGATGGTTTTCACTGTCATCTCCTTGCTGATGTGCCATCTTTGAAAACTGTATCCCAGTATAAGAGACCAACAAAACTAGAGTCCAATTCTACTATTATTAATTGCTATTTATTCTACTACTTTATAAAATACTGGATTTTTAAATAAACTTTTTTATTTTTGTATAAGCCCTTGCAAAAACATATATTTCTGTTTTCCAATTGGGTTTTTCAAAGTCTCTGTGATTATCCCTCCCCCTTTATTTCAGTGAAAAAACTGTCTACAGAAATTTTGCAGTGTGTGGTAGAAGGCTGCCAAGCAAGGTCAGGAGGAGAGCTTGCCACCCAACTGACTTCTGTGTTTAGGTAAGTAGAAAACTGGCCAGCTGGCATTGAAACGATTGCAAGGCATTTGATGGAAAACATGTTCTTTTAAGCAACTAATTATCCTTAACATAATTTGATGTTGATTGCCTATAGTACTTCCATTCTTGGCAAAATGGTTTGCCATGCAGATTGGCCAACAAAAAAGGAAACCTTTTAGACAGAATCATGAACATTTTTCCCCCTGTGGAGTTTTAATGCTGTTTTAGGGGAAACACATTGCAGCCATAAAAATGGAGCATCGCAGGTAAACCGTCAGGTTAATTTCTTCCTCAGAATTGCATATTCAATTTAGAAACCATCACGCTGTGCATTTCTCTGTCCCTGCTCCATCATTGACAAATACTATTTGAGTATCTGCAGTTTTAAGACTGTGGGGAGGAAGAGTGAAAGCTGAACAGAAACTCAGATCTGAATATAATTCAACTTTCTTCTGACTTTGTAGTACATAACTATGTTTGCTTTCACAACCAAGGTTGATCCACTCCCTACTGTGGATCATCCCTGGTAGAATTCCACTGGATCAGTTTCAGTTGGTGAGTACTGTTGATGTGGACAAGCTGCTGGGGCAAGTAAGGAAGATAAACTGCTTTCTTGATCCCTGTCCCTCTTGGATGATTGTCCATGGAAGAGATGCAATTAGATGTTAAATACAACAAGTTAACAAGTTGGAGCCCCCGGTGGTGTAATCGGTTAAACCGGTGATCTGAACTTGCTGACCAAAAGGTCGGTGGTTCGACTCCAGGGCGGGGTGAGCTCCCACTGTTAGCCCCAGATTCTGCCAACCTAGCCATTTGAAAACATGCAAGTGTGAGTATATCAATAGGTACCATTCTAGTGGGAAGGTAACGGCACTCCATGCAGTCATGCCGGCCACATGACCTTGGAGGCGTCTACGGACAACGCCGGCTCTTCAGCTTAGAAATGGAGATGAGCACCACCCCCGAAGTCGGACACAACTAGGCTTAATCTTAGGGGAAAACCTTTACCTTTATCTACGTTATCAATATATCTCTCGGAGAGGGGAATTTTCCATCCTGTTTAAAAGAAGTAGTAGTCAGCTACTGCTACTGGAAAAATATCTTCCTTTAAACTTGACATGAACAAGAGATATCGAAAATGAGACAAAAGTATCGTATTACTTCGAAATTCACAATTTGTAGATTTAGCATTGAGCAGGGCATGCTTACATGGCTATGTACACAATTCAGTCAGCATGCCCTAATGGCACTGAAGTATGCAAAATGATTTTTGGATGACATATTTACAAGAGGCTGATAAAGGAACTGCACAAAGTAACAGTCCACCTCATCTGGGAATGGATATGTCTCAAGGGAGAAATATCACTGTTTTGTTCCTGTCTACTCTCATTTCAGCCGTGTTCATAGTTAAATTCAGACCAGCCTCCAGAGAGAAGTAAAAATGTTAGAAACTTCTCAATGTATTTTCTTCCAGGTGCCTGTGCCACCGTGACCACTTCTACTGAATCTATTACTGTTTTAGATGGTGACAAGTTCACTAAAGGCCATTGCTCTGACAAACCTGGCAACTTCTTTGATAGCCCTCAGTTAACTCGGCTTCTCTTGGCAGATAGGGGCCTGATGCTGAGATTCGTAAGGACCCTCTTACAGATAATAGTACTATATGATAGCATGTCCTTGTATTCCAAAAACATTCTGGGACACTGTGAAAAGGGATACTTTTAAAACACTGCCAGTCATTGAACAGAATGATTGCATATAGAGAAAACATACACAAAAGGCTTATTTGAAAACATGAAGCTGTACGTCATTATCCAGAATGTAGTCCTGTAACAATCTGAGAACTAAATGTATGAAGACTGAACACAGCAAAAATAGCTGGAGCCCTATGAATTGGGCCCACCACAAAGAAATTAAAATAACAACATTACAAATAACAACAGGTGCGACACAATCTGTAACATCTATAGAATCATAGAGTTGCAAGAGACCTTGTGGGCCATCCAGTCCAACCCCCTGCCAAGAAGTAGGACAATCATGTTCAAAGCACCACCAACAGAGGGCAATCCAAGCTCTGTTTAAAGGCCTCCATAGAAGGAACCTCCACCACACTTCGAGGCAGAGAGTTCCACTGCTGAACAGCTCTCACAGTCAGAAAGTTCTTCCTAATGTTCAGGTGGAATCTCCTTTCCTGTAGTTTGAAACCATTGTTCTGCGTCCTAGTCTCCAAGGCAGCAGGAAACAAGCTTGCTCCCTCCTCCCTATGACTTCCCCTATTAATCTATGATTAATGGATTGATGTTCAACAGATATGTCCATGATAATACCATTTCTGGCTAGGTCTCAACAGGGCTCACCTCCTCTCCATGGCTTTGGTTGTGTGACTAAATGACAAAACATATTATGAGTTATGAAAGAACTATATCTAGATAAATATATGACTTCAGGTAACACACAAATACATCTATACATTGCTATCCCATCCCACAGATGGGAAAATTCTTTGCAGATGGAGGAAATGTGTCATGGTGCAGGTTGTGTCCTCAAGCGCAGATCTACTGGCACCAAAGTTTCACGTTCATGGGCCCACCCAGTTTCTGTTATATTAGTAAACAAAATGGATTTCATAACCATTCCTAAAGTATCTCCTATTTTAAGAGGAATGGGAATCCTATTGACTCCCTATCCTACATTTGGTAGCCAAAATCCCCATAAAGTTTTGTTCAGGTTTATCATAATAAAAATGGATAGACATTGGCACAAAAATAAAGGAATGCCGTGAGAAGTCTTCAAAGATGAGAATAAAAGAAATGCTTTTGCAGAACTCTGGTCCTGTTCATTATATTTGCCAGGAAGGAATTCTCTTCTCTTGCTCCCCCAAATGAGTATTTTTTTTCCCATAGATGTTCTTTGCTGCAATCTGTAAAAATGTTAGTTTGGTCTGATGTCTGGATTCAATCACTTTCAGCAGTACTCATTGTGTGGAGGAAATCTGTATACATACTTGCTATGTTGGTGTTAAAGCTTTCTTGTTTATAGATTTAATGAATGGTCTATCTGTCTGTCAGTCCTTTTACTCTCTGTCTCCAAATCTGAACCTGTAACACTGACTTTTCTGTACTTCTTTAGCACACCCCTCCCCGCTCCAAATGCATACATTTGTTTGTTGGAGCTTGTTTTTTGTGAACTGTTGTTTTTTTTAACCATGCGCTAAATGCCCTTGTTTCTTCCTCCAGGCAGTTCATCCAGGATTACACTACTGTATATGGTAATCAGGTTTACAGCATCTTGGAAGCAGTGGCAGTCTTGGACCAGTCTCTAGTTATCAGCTTGATTCCTGCTATGACAGAGGCCCTGAGGAATTCAGAGTACAAACAAGGTCTTGGCAGAAACACTGTGCAAAGGTACAGTGTTTAGAGATTACTGTTGCTTTTGGATGACGAACAGAAGTTCACTCTGTTTACAAAAGTCATGTTTAAACTACAGCACACAGTCCGTTCAGGCAGAACATATTTAACTTCCACTTAGATTCTTTAACAGTATAATAGATTTATGTTTGCTCCAGGGTTGTAGCTGTGAGCGGGATGAAGGCATTGCACCTCCAATAAGAATTTTACTTTCCCATGAAATGTTCTTCCAGTCTCCAAATTTCTAGCATTTCAGTAACGTGAAATGTCAGTAATGGAAAACTTTAGTTGATCATTTAGAAATATAGTTTAAGAATCCAAAAGAAAAGGACAGGGAAAGTTACCCAAAGAATGCCAACACAACAAGTATGAATGGTAGATGTGAACCAATTCCAATTATGGAAATTTGGGGAATGAAGGAAAATTTCATTATGGGATAAAAAAATTATCTAGGAGTCAATACCCTTATTTTACACCTTCCCCCATAGTGACACCCATTTTATATCATGTTAGTTGCTTTGTATATGCGTGTGTGTGTGTGTGTGTGTGTGTATACACACACACAAAAGCACACACATCAGTAAACAGTTATGAAGCGTGATGGTTTATATAGACCTTCAGCTGTTTGAACTCTCCTAGAAAAAATCACACAGCAAAATATTATCCCACATTTGAGGCTATTAAATATTCTAGTCTCAATCTCTGTTCATGTTTAAAAGCAAAAACGAAACCAGCACAGTCTCAAAATTAAAAGGGGAGTTGCTAAGGTCAAATAAACTGATATTGACATGAGAAAAAAAAACTTAATTCATCATAAAGTTTCTCCAACTAATCCAAAACTAGTGGTAAATAAACACCTTTAAATGCAGAGAGTGCTCAGCTCTTGAGTTGGATGTTTATTTGTTTTACAGCATTAATTTGTCCCCCTTTGAACATGCAGGATACATTTGGTACATCTAGAAGACACTAATTAAAGATTGGTTCATATCTCCTGCAAGCATGGTTCAGGACTTAGGTCACAATTTCTGTCCAAATTCATAAGTTTTATTTTGGGTCTTTTGGTTTTGTTTGGCTTTTTGATAATTCTGTCTCCAGGTATCTTTTGTAAATGGGAGAACAGTAATCCAGGCATTTGAGTAACAGGCTTGACAGCAATCGCAGTATTTTAGAACGGACTATGGACAAGGCCTTGGACTGGGTTGTTTGTCGCTGAATTGGACTTGGATATGGCAATATGGTCGATAATAATGTTTTAAATGGATTTTAATCTAATGTTTTTATCTACTCAGTTATGTCATGTTGTATTGTGTTTTTGTATGTGTTGGCATCAAATTGTTGCCATTGTGAGCTGTCCTGAGTCTCCCCTCGGGGTTGGGAAGGATGGGGTACAAATGTTTCAAATAAATAATGCTTTTTCAATGAAATAGCATAGTGAAATGCTTTAGCTGGGATAACCAAGTAATAACAGTTGGAGGTTTGAATTCTGTAGTGAACTCCACATCATCATCTTCATTGTCATCATTATTGGAGATGGAAATCGCACTTGACTTCAAGTAAATCTTTTCTGAAGCCACTCTTTTCATAAGCCAAATAAGACCAGATGAGCAATTTTCCTGCTTTGTTTCCTAGTAAACAGGGAAGAGGGGAGGATGAGAGAAAATTACGTTCTGGTTCTTTATCAATTTACTTTAAATAGCCTAAGAATGACATGACTGATTCTTAAGCTCCATGACACTGGTTTTAATTAAAGTGTTATATACTTTGCTTTTTTTTCTTTCTTAACAGGGAGGCCTATAAAAGACTCTTATCTCAGCTCACAGAAGCTGGACAGACGGAGATATTGAGACTGGAAAATGAGACCCATTAGCAACTCGTTGATTGGTATTTTCAGCAGTCGTTTCCTAGAATGCTAGTGCCGAGTATGGGGTGCATCCGCCCTGTCTATAGGTACAGAGTATTTCTGGTTCATTTTATGAGAACATGCAAGCTGCCCTTGAGCAGCTTTCGATTCAGCCTTTTAATAAAGCCAGCATCGTGGAAAAAGGAGCACAAAACTTTTGTCTTTCAACTAGCCTTTTGAATCCTTTCTGGAGGAAAACAATGCCAAATAGAAGAATCTTGGTTGTCTTGCTAAAAATTCATCTTTTAATTTAAAAATAAAAGTTGGAGAAGCAGGAAAGGCAATTTTTACCTGTAATGGTGTCCCCCCCCCCCCCCCCCCCCCTGCTCTAATGAATCAATACACTTTGGCTGTCAGGCCTTTTCATTTTGACACTTTGAGTGATGTTTTGCACACAAACACTTCATATGAGCCTGGTGGCTGCAAGAGGTTCAATCTAAGCAAGGGCAGGGTTAGGTCAGGATGTTTGAGCCACCTGATGTTAACAGAAGAGCTTGTGTCGGCACTGCATGGAAGGGTGACAGCTGTCCTAGCGTTGTCCCTGTATTAAAAACATGTAGACGTGTTCTGCGGTATTCAACCTCTAACCTCCTCCGTGTTGTCCTTGTGCGTTTTGCTGGTGGTTGTAGCCAGCACTCCCAGTCTTGAATAACAAGAATTGATTCAGCTATAAGAACAGCTCCATGGGTCACTATACGAGTGTCACCTATTTCTTTTCCCAACTCCTCCTCCCAATTTTCTATGACAGAAGATTTAAAGATCCTTGGGGAGTTTGACCAAATTCAGAGGTGGAGGAAGGGATGCAGGTGCAAACATCGCAATTCAAATCCCTCCTAAATGTTTTTTTTTTTTACTAACTACCCATATGATTACATTTTGTGTATCATAAATTGGATTTGTTAGATATTTCAGGATGTTCTCGGACATGTCATAAGTCTCCCTATAATTTCCAGATTTATTTGATGCATACTTTTGTAAAATTACACAATCTTGATGACTTGGAGTAGAGTTTTGAATTGTGGCAGTGAATTGTAAGGACTTGGTAGAAAACCCGGTGAAACAAACTGCAACTTTTCAGAGCTAATAATGAGAGACTGTTTTTTGTGTCTTATCAATTACTGCCATGGAAACTTCCCTATAATCTTGTTCAGAGCCTTTCTGTATTGTTATAGTATTCTTATGTAAAGGTAGCAGATTATCTCTTCCCTAAATCAACTATCATTACTTCAGATAATACAGTAACTAAAAGCCTCTTTTAGGCTACTTAATAGTGTAGAGCATGGATGTTCTTTTCATTATGAAAGTGACTTATTGAACCCACATTGTAGCTTCTTGTAAGCTCCTACACCTGGGAGGAGTTTTATTCATCTCAAAAGGCCTCTGTTTCTAAAAGGTTTTCTTAAAAAGCCTCTTCAAGTGAGATGCCTTCGAAATCTAAGTCTTTACCATTCAGCAGATAACGGAAACAGAAGTCTGTCTTTAGCATTAACTTCTTGAAAGTGAAGCCTTTGACTTTTAAGAAAATTGAAGAACATATTGTAGGAAATTGTTTAACTTGAGTGCGTATTATTTCAAGCATAATTAATACGTAGCTGGAAATACCATTGCTTTCTACAACGGTAATTCATGAACAATTACTCTTTAATGTTTCTGGTTAAGCAGTAGCTATTAACAAGCCGATTAACAAGCAGGTTTTTAAATGCTATATCAGACTCCTGACAAATATGTGTCTCTGTAGACAACAGAGATGACTATAGCAATATTGTAAACCAGTTTTGTATTGGATGATTAAGCAAAAGTAGGTAAAGTTTGTCCCTCCAGATTATCTTAGTCTGCATTTCCCATTAGCCCTATCCACTGTAGCTCATGATGAAGAATTATAGGAATTGTATTCCTATAGCACTGGAGGGCATCATCTTGGTATGTAGAAAACTCAAATTATTATACAGGTCACACAGTAAGATAAATAATCTTTTACATTGAACTTTTCACAAATACCCTTTGTTTCTTCATCATGGTCTTTGTGAAATCGCACATATGGTATTTCCTGCACCAAATTGCACATATGGTATTTCCTGTGCTGTTGAAAATGACAACCTTCATCAAGCCTTCTCTAGGACTGTTTGTCCATGGTCTGGTTGCTTTGTGTTTCGTGTATGTATGTTCTGGTATGCGGCTTCCATTTCTCTGGTTCCTGAGAAGTTATAAAAGGGGCTGCAGACCACATGATCACTACAGACTACTTCAGACCTCAGATCACACACTTGCTCGCTGTTTTGCTGTAAGAAACGTCCTGGCCGGATGGCACAGAGAATTATCTCAAACGTATCTGAAACTGGACTGATAAGTTTTGTACCTGTGTATGCTGAACACATGAAGGTTGAGAGTAAACTAAATACATTATTTTGATCAAAGTCTACTTCATTTTTGTCTCTCGAGTGCATGCTATAAAAGAAGTTGTTTTATGGGAGAGTATGTGTATGTGTGTATAGGCACTGAAAAACACTTCTGAAGCACTGGGGGTTTTTTTTAAGCAGTGGCAAAATCTGTTTTCCTAACAGATCAGAGATAGCAGGTTGTTCAGTCTAACAACTGAAACCATTGCCTAGTATAATTACATCTGGTTGTATACCACAAGAAAAGATTATAGCCTAAAGATTTTTTGGCTCTTCTCTGAAATGTCATGCTATTCTTAAAAAGTTATGATCTCCAAAAGGTGTTTTCCAAAAGGTTATGAATGTCATTTTCCAAAATATGCAGTGAGAGATGGAATCTTCTAGAAAGCTTAGATATATTTTGGTAGAAGCCCCGCCCACTCTCTGCATAGAGTATATAGCCAGTGGGAGGGGCTACTCCTTTGGTTCCTTTATGCTGCCGTTACACAACAGCTAGGGAATCTCTCATACTTTGACTAGCTTGTCTCTAGACTCTCTCTTGTGCTTGACTCGGACTGCCTTCCTACTATGTAATTTTTTTCTGTTTCTGACCTGGACTGTGTTTAACTATTCTATTTCTGATCCGATCCGGTAATGTCTTCTACAACATTTTTTAAGAAGTATACCTGATGGGTATGCTATGCACTTGTTGTGCCAGGGGGAGGTGGGCTATGTAGTGCAGACCTGTCCTGCCCTGCCTGCCTTTCTTTCATCTCCCAGGCAAGTAAAAACTGGGAATCACAGCTTAAAGCCCTGCTCTTTGAGCAGGCCTTCCTCCACCCCCACCGCTCATGAAGCATGTCGGGGCTGAACTTCTTCCTTTGGTGGGAGATGCTGTCACTCAAGGAGGCCCTCTTACCTTTTGCCGCAAATTCTTCTCCGAGTAACCCACCAGCCTTGGCCAGGCCCAAGGCTAGGAAGCCCAAGTCGCCTCACCCGCCACTTGCTGGGTGGGAAAAAGCTCCTGAGTGAGCCAAGCAGCTGGAGAACCCAAAGAAGGGGGGGGGGAATGGCTACTCAAACCACCGCCTTGAAGACCTCCCTCAACACTGCCCCTGGTGACTCTTCCTTCTGTGGTTCAGGATGTGCTTCCCTCCCAAATGCCTTTGCTGCCCTTCGGAGAGGTGCGTGTGCAGGTGCAGCTGCCACCTGGGCTGTCCCTGGAGGAGAGTGCTCCGATACTGGCTGCTCAGGTGGGCCCCAAGCCTCCTCCATCATTATTATTCTGGCCCTTCTGCTCCACTGCAATCTCATTATGCCACCCCCTCCACTTCAATGGCTCCCTCCACAGTTACCACCTTAATGGCGCCCCCTCTGGTACCACCTCGATGGTGCCCCCTCTGGCTCCCCCAGTGGAATTGCAACCACTGCAGGCCTTCTCAAATCCTCCCAATTCAGGACTCCTCACCTCCCCACCCCCTGTCACCAATGGTGGAGCTTAATGATGACACTGACTCTTCCAACAGTACCTCTGAGGTGACAGATGTGCCAGTGAACTGGAGTTGCCTTCTCCTGATATATTCAATCCTTTTTCTGCTTTAATGGTACACTTCGCACGAGCCTTGAACCTACCTATGTCTAAAGCTCCTACTCCAGTTGATAATCCTATCTTTTTTTTTGGAAAAGCAACACTTACTGGCTCCTATGGTGTTACCACTGTTGCTTTACCTTCTCCAGCTAGCCAGGTCACCCGACTTTGCCCCAGCAGTTTTGAAGCATATAGACAATTTGTACTGCATGGACCTCACATCCGAACAGTGGGTGGCGCACCCATTGAAACCTAACTCCGTAGTTGTGAATGTAAGCCAACCTCTAGGTCAAAAAAGCCCTTATTGGCCCCATCTGATAAAGAGAGTAGGAAGATGGACTCCATGAGAAAATGGGCGCATGTTTCGGCTGACATCTATTCACTTGGCCCATTATGGGGCACACATGGGGGTCTATCCAATATTTTTGTGATCTTGACCTCCTCCCACGGGAGGAAAAATGTTTGGCTAAGGCCTTTCAGATTGAGGCATTAACTTTGGCAAAACTACAAAAGGACTTGGTCAAACATACAGCAGATTCGGCAGGCAAGCTTTTTGCCACAGCTATACTGATTCGCAGACATGCCTGGCTGCACTCTTCAAGTCTCTCTGAAAAAGGATATGCTATTGCTGAGGATCTGCCAATACGAGGCTGAAACATACCTAGGAAATGCCTCAGATGGCCCACAAATTCAGTTTTTCAGTTCAACCCTCCTACCAGCTGAGACCAAGATGGCAACCAGGAAGTACCTTCTATAGTAGACCCTTTGGGGGCATCGCGCAGATCCCACCCTAATGAACACACCAAGTTGCCACTACCTCTCTTTAAACTGCCTTCAGATGATCTTGTAGGTTGAGTTAGGTTTTAATAACTACTTGTATTGGTTTTTAGCTTAGATTTTAAAATTTGTTGATGTTTGAAGTATATAACCCTTTGGGTTTGATGTGGATGTACGGGACTGGGCCCCCCTGTTATGATCTGGTCATCGACCATAATAAAGTTTACTAACTAACTAGCCTGCTTCTAGGAAACAGAGCTTTGCTATAAGAACCATCAGGATAAGACAAAGCAGACAGAGTTTTTTTGTGATGGCTTGGATGTTCAAGATTATGTCCTCCATTCATCCTTTCTCCCTCACTTGGAGGAGTTGGTTTTTCTCCTGGCCGGTTTCAGAGCACTTCCTTGTCACCTGTGTGAAGCATGTTAATGGGTCTCCTGTGTTTGGTACTAGGCTGTCTGCCTTTGCCTCAGCTTGGCAGGAGATAATGTCAGATGCCTGGGTGCTGAAGATTATTGAGTATGGTCACTCCATCAAGTTTCGTAGACACTCAGCGGTGGATTATCAGCGAGTTACACCTGCCTCCTCTCCCCTTTGGGAGGAGCTCTGAGTGTTGTTGCAGAAGGTTGAAATTGGCCACCTGATCCTTTGCTGTTCTCCTGCTGTTTTTCCCCATGTAACCTTTTAGTCCCAAAGTGTAGCAGAGGCCAACATCCTATTTTGGACCTAAAGAACATTAACTGATATATCCGTTCTCCCAAGGTTTCGGATGGTATCACTTTCTGTGTTTCTCCCTTTGTTAAATAAAGATGTTTGGTTTGCCACCATTGATTTGAAGGATGCTTATTTTCACATTTCTATCTGACAAAAACATCTTACATCTCTCTATGATAGGGGAGCAGGCTTTGTTTTAACATTTTGCCGTTTAGTCTCACAACTGCTTCTTGTGTTTTTACTAAGTTGTATGGCCGCTATCGCTGCCCACCTTTGCCTTAGTGGCATAACAGTCTATTAATACATTGATGCCTAGCTTTTGGTGGCTAATTCTAGACTCCAACTCCCCTCTCACATTTGCTCTAGCCTTGCAGGAGCTGTTGATATTGGCCCGACATATACAGGTCATGCTGGGCCACACGGCTTCAACTACTGAAGTGATGCCTTATGTACAGCTCCAACCGGCCCCTACAGGCCTGCTCCTTCAGTTCCTTCAACTCCCTCCAGGGCAATCCCTGCACCCCTCTCTCAATTCCAATGGGGATGCATCAGTCACTTCTCCAGTGGACCAAAAGGAGAAATATTTGTGTGGGTCTGCCTTTCTGGCCACCAAACCTGGGGACTACCCGTACTCCCAAAATTGATGGCTTCTGTTGATCTGCTATGCTTTGTGCAGAAACTGTATGCTATCTTTGCCCAATGCAATTTTTTCATCAATCAGCACTTCAGAATGTGATTACCACATTCTTCCCTGCATATCTGTGCTTCCTAAAAGCTGAAGAAGTATGGGGGAGGTTTGGTAATTCCTGTTTTGGCCTTAGTTTTGACCTCATTTTTCTCTGCAGTAAGTTTCCTCCATTTGATAGAAATTCTCAGACTATTTCTAGAATTTATCCAAAGATTTTTAAAAGTTTTGAGTTCCCAATAGAACAATTCTACTTTAGATGCAAGAAAGACAAGAAAGCTTGGAGAAGATAATGATGCTGGGGAAAATGGAAGGAAAAAGGAAGAGGGGCCGACCAAGGGCAAGACGGATGGATGGTATCCTTGAAGTGACTGGCTTGACTCTGAAGGAGCTGGGAGTGATGACGGCCGACAGGGAGCTCTGGCGTGAGCTGGTCCATGAGGTCACAGAGTCGGAAGCGATTGAACAAATGAACAACAAACTTTAGATGCATGCAAGACCTGACACTTTATCTGATGGTGGAGGAATATAAGGTTCTTCATTGTGTTTCCCAAAGATTCATGAGGTTGTTGACAGTCTTTTCCAGTGTGTCCATGCAGTCAATGTGGTGGTTTAGTTTGGAGATAGAGCTGTACTATGGTGCTATTCAGCAGCATTTGTTGAACTTGGAGAAAATGTTGTGTAAAGAGGTACTAGATGTTGCCTTCCTCAATGTTGGAAAAAATACTTACAGTAATATAACCAGTGGTTTTACTAGTATAAGTCACCAAGTAGATTTTAGCTCAGGTAGATACCTGTTGCAGTAAATTGAGGTAAAGGAATACATCTCTTTTGCTCTTTGACCCTTTATGATTTTCTTCAGTGTGCTATGATTTAGTTCTGATCATTTCCGAGACATTTTCTGAGAAACTTTAGCATTAAGAAAAAAATGTCTAGCATGCACACACATTCCTGATAGTCCTAAATAAGTATCAAATTATCTGTAATACCATAAAAGAAAAGCAGCATTGTTTCAAATCCATCCTACTAATTCATTCACAATTATTTGTGAGTCCGTTTTGTGAAATTTTACTTTTTTATTTTCATGGGAGGTTAAGATATATTGCATGGGAGTTTAATTTCATATTAAATGATGACCCATTTTTTATTATGAGAATTCTTAAGACAGTGGAGATAAACCGGTGTAGCAGAAAAAACAACAGTGTGGTTCTTTGCACACTTATTCCTTATAGGTTATCATGACTGCTACATGCATATTTAAATTTATCAAGAAAACCTATAATGTTACACTGAGTGTCATCATTTTGTTAACAGTTTCTTAACTAGATAGACTTGAGTATCTGAAAAGACGGGTTTTCAAAATATTAATTGTAACAGATCTGAAAATAGTTACAATGAGTCCAAACATCACTTTAGACCTGTAAAAATGTTCTCCATGTCCAGTGGAGCAGGAAGTTGTTTTAGGTTTCATTGCAAGCTCCTATATAAAAGCTCTCTTTTAGTTCAACAAACATCCATCGGTTCTACATGTGATACGTAATTTTACTCATTGTATATACATACCTGATATTACATGAGTGAATGTCCTGTTTAAAATCGGGGGAAGCATTGCCTCCTCGAGTTACACTTTACCCATAGATCAACCACAAAGGAAACCCACAGCACTACCATGTGCACTGCAGCAAATTCATAGACAGAGATGCCTGGTTAGTATCTTGCCATTCTGCAGCCAAAAAACGGCAACTATTGTCCTCCTGTTGTGGCATTTCTAGCTACAGGAAAACATCTGAGCGCATCTCTGCTTCTCACCTGTTCTTCAATGACTTGGAAATGGCACTATTGTGGAGGGTCACCTCTCTTAAAAGGTGAGTTTGTGGGAATACTATTGGGAGATGCAACTTGTGCCATACATACTTCTTTCAGTGCTGTATTCCTGCTAATTTCTGCACTGGTCTTTTACTGATGCTTCACAAACGTGTTTGTAGGCCCACAAGATAATCACAAAGGTTAATAGAAAGCAATTCAAAATAGCACTTTTGCATCCAGCTCTAGACAATGTTGAAGAACTCTTTAAGGAAAAGTCAAAGATAGGCATTGGTGAGCTTTATTGTATCAGGGAAACAGTCTTTCCCTAATTAAGATTGGCAGTAATGTATTTTTCCTTTAATTTAATTACATTTTCATCTTTATATTCAGAATGGCATCCCAACATGAATTTATTTTCTCTGTACAGCTTTTGACAAATGAAGGTTTTGGAATTAAAACAACCTGCTTTCCTCAAATTGTCTGTTAAATACTATAGTTTGGAAAAGAAAAAAACACGTTGGATCAGTACAAAGATTTAAGAGCTTAAGATAGCTAACAAGCTGTACTATTTCTAAGCAGCAACTTCTCTCCTAATTCTATGGGGAACAATCTTGAAAACTACAAAAGGCTTTACAACGACCTCTAGCTTGACTGTTTTCCTCCTCCCTGCTATGTGGCACTTTCCTTCTGACAACATTGCCACATATTTGTCTTTTATGCAGTGGAAAGTATTCCAATGACATGACTCTTTACCTTTGTGAGGCAAATGTAAGAAGCACTCAGTAGTGATGGTTAAGAGCACCTTTGCAGATCAAAAAAGCTGAGAATTCACAGAAATTATACTTTCAAGTTCTCCTAATACCAAGGACAAGCATCCAAAATAAGCCCTTTTCAAGGCCTAAAAAGTGCATGCTCACTACAGTTGTAGCTCATATTCCGAGAATTTCTGTTCTAGATAAAATGAAGAATCCCTTTGTTTCGTTTGCACACATCCAATTTAAACTTCGTTATTCATTTCTAGACAATATCTAATGCTAGCAGCAACAAACAGTGGAAGTGAGACTATGCTGAAGGTCCCTTTCAACCAACTGGATATACAACAGCATGTTGTTCTTAATGTTCTTGCAATGCACCTTTGGAAATTAATAGATTCCAGAAAATGTTCAAAGAGTTGCTAGAATAACCAGATGGAGAAACATCTGAATAGACTCTGTCCCTTCTTTAGAGTACATATACAGTTTAATCCTGACTCACTTCCTTTATGTTCCTCTCTTTCTCTCTACCTGCCCTCCTTTTGGCATTTACTGCACTTTAATACAAGGAAGAATTTTGCAACAATTCCTTCATCTTGGTGATGCAAAGAGGAAATGGTGGCAAATGAGGATGCTCTCCCATCAAGCATGCTCCCTTGTCTCACATTGTGCCTATCTTGTGATGAGGCACTTGCAAAGGCTGCAGGTTTGGGCACGTAGAGTAGGGAGCAGGGAGAAAGCAGGCTGCTATCCCATTTGAAGCAAAAGGCAAGGTGGGTCCATAGAAAACTTCTTCTTTTCCTTCCTTGCTAACATCCAGTACCTGTAAAAGTCAAAGGAGATGTAAACAATATCACGGAGAAAGAGAGATTGTGCAGCACCTGTGAATAAAACCAGTGTATCACCTATTTTTTCCTAGCTATGCAATTAAAAATGCAGCTGTCCATACTTAGAACTGGAAAGATAGGAGACAACAGACGAACTGAAAAGATTCTGGGATGTGCAATGGGAGGAGAGAAGGGAAATCCGCAGCTGGCAATATTTATTTATTTATTTGCCCTATTTATACCCCATCTTTTTCTACCCTGAAGGGGACTCAAGGCAGCTTACATATAGGCAATTATTCAATACCTTAACACACATACAATTTCAGTAATATTAAAATTAAATTAAAATTAATACATATTAAGCATTAATTCAGATCCACCTAAATTATTGCCCTGCTGTGAGATTTAGGCCTGGTCTACACATGCTGCCAAGTTGTAAGGTTATCATTTTTTAAGTTTTAGGATGAGATTTTTAAGGTGTGGACAGTTAAATTTATGGATGCAGAATCTATGGATATGACTAGTAGTTAACTGTAGAAGTCTGGTAGCTATTTTTAGAACCTGCATGTTACATACAGTGTTTTCTTCAAGTTTGACTGCTCTTGCCCATCAAGCAGATGTTTCAGATGTTTGTGAAAGGCAGTTTTACAACATTATTTCAAGTGATTCAAACAATCATCTACATTGCTCACCTGGATACATGCAGAGGGTTCATTTGTCCAAATTGAATAGCCCCCAACTAAATATATTCTACCATTATGGACAGCAACTCCAGATTCATTTTGGCCTAGGTGGACAAACATAAAAACATGGAACTGTGTTAGCCACAAGCATGGAAAACTAGAATGTCTTTGTCGTACAATAGTGCAAATAGACTGGACTGAAAAATCCATAGGCTGCCAGCTGTTTAAATGAAATATGTAGGTTCTATAAAGGTAAATATTTCCTTTTGACATTAAGTCTAGTAGTGTCCAACTCAGGGGTGGTGCTCATCTCCATTCCTAAGCTGAAGAGCTGGTGTTGTCCGTAGGCGCGTCCAAAGTCATGTGACTGGGATGCCATCAGAGGTCCTAATCCCTCTAAAATGTACAACTGGACACACATTTCAATACATTACTGATGCTATGATGTCTTGCGTTACTTGTTGTTGCTCGGCTTGATCAACAAGGATAGGTGAGAAATAAATGTTCTGGATAATTTAAAATACCGAAATTACCCACTTGTGCTCAAAAATATAATATCTCTCCTACTACCATACATTTGATGATGTACTTCTATGTATTCACTTTTTAAAAAAATATTTTATCCTACTTTTCACAATTTCTGTTCCTCCCGTGTGTCATAGAAAACTATTGTGAAAAGCATAAGGACTTTCCACAATGCAACTGTGGAAGCAAGTTCTGTTCCTGTACTGTTACATACTTCCCATACAATATTAACAGTAAAAGAACTGGCCTGTTGGTTTTGAGAGCTCCTCCTCCTCCTTGTCCTCTTGCCTTACTGTTAATTAACAGTAATAAGTTGCCTGCCACCTCGGAATAAAAGGCTGGAGGTGAGGTGTTAGCAATAATAACACAGAGAAAAAGCAAGAAGTAAAGAACAAGACCTGCCACAATTTCTGACCCACCATGTACCATGGCTCCATATTCAGCAGTCTCATGAATGAGGGGATTTTAAAGTAGGAAATTATTTTCTACCCTTGTTTTAATGACACATACTCAGAAATACTTGCCTGTCAACATACTGAAGCTGCAGCGTGTCCACTGGTCAGCATCTATATTGTAAGAGTCTATGTGGCGGACAAGAATCCTGTCATTGTTGTAATCCAGGTCATTGCCGCCTAAAACATACAGCTTTCTTTGAACGGCTGCCATAGAATGGTAGACTCTCCTCTGCAACATGGGGCTGCGGCTGAGCCATTTATTCTACAGATATATAGAGAAAAGAGAACTGGGTCTCATTAATTTTAACATATCGGGGGGGGGGGTACTGATATTTTACTGAAGGTCAAAGTACAATACTTCCAAATATAAGTCCGAAAACCACATCAAAACACTATTCAAATCCTTGCCAATAACTGCTTCCTCTTTCCTAATTTATTGGTTAGTTTTCAATGCCTAAAAAAGACTTACACTGATTAAAGGCTTGCTTAATCGGGAACATCCTTGCCAAACCTTATGATTTCTTAGTCTTACCACCATTTACATAAGTTATAGTATATTTTCCCATCTGCATAATATGAAACTATTTTTGTGCCATTTGAGGAATGGGAAGCACAAAACCAGCAAAACAACTGCTCTGTATAATCCCCCCCCCCAATAATGTATAGCTATCCATTATGCTGTATAGTATTTGACTAGGAGGAATTAATATTTGCATTAACAGTCCAGTCCCTTGACACAGAACTATAGACACCATCTGCTTTGCAAAGCCTGCTTGCATCCCCTGATTATATCTTAGCTTTCTCCGCAGCAGTGACTGCCAGGTAAGCCGCCAAGCACTGCAAAGGCAAGGAAACAGAGGGGCCTGGTGGGGTCATTCCTAATAAGCCAGTGTGTGAATACTAATCAGCAGTGGAGAAGCAGAGGTCACCCTAGCCTGCCTGTTGGCAGGTAGCGATGTGCTCGGTGGCAGATGGTAGGCATTATCAGCACTCCACAAAGGCCTAGTGCAGAAACAGGCACTAGCACCAAATGATAGAGCGATTGAGATTCTGTGCAAGATGCAAGCAGATGTGAGGTTCCTTCCAGTGCCCACCGTATGCAATATGCCAGCAGAATTTTTAAAAAGAATGTGTGTGTAAAAACACGGCACAGACCTCATTGGAAGAATGCTAACGCGTCCTCTCTACTTGGTTAACTCTTTGGGTACTATGTAGGCTAAAGCTCAGCGCCTCAAGTGGGCCTGCGTAAAGGCAGCCGCAGCATCTGGATCTTTAAGGCAGAAAAATAGGTTGCTCCTGGAACATAAGGGCACTTGAGCATTTAAGGCACAAATGCATACTTTTATTCAGGACAAGGTCAGAACTTGCCAGTACTGAGAAAAGATGAATGAGTAAAATATTTCAAACTGGCACATTAGGCCAGCTAGATGATGGGTGCATCTGGAATCAGAATCAGAGTTGGAAAAGACCACATGGGCCATCTAGTCCAACCCACTGCCTTGCAGAAAACCACAAAGTAATCTGACAGATGGCCATCCAACCTCTGTTTAAAAGCCTCCAAGGAAGGAGCTTCTACCACACTCTGAAGCAGTGAGTTCCACTGTTGAACACCTCTTACAGTTAGGAAGCTCTTCCTAATGTTCAAGTGGAATCTCCTTTCCTGTAATTTCAACCCATTGCTCAGAGTCCTAATCTCTATTGTAGCATTAGTACAATTTGGTGCCATTTTGCCATAGCTCAATGCTATCGGATCCTGAAATTTATAGTTTGGTGAGCCACCAGCAATATGGCAGAGAAGGATAGAGGTATAACTGTGTATCCATAGCAAGGAGCCATGACAATTAAAGTTTTGTCAAACTGCATTAATTCTACAGTGTAGATGCATCTTTTATTACTGAAAATACATCTTCACATATTACTGAGGATTCTGACAGATGAGTGGAATGCTAGCATTCAGGTCCATTTTGGGAAATCACAAATCACTGTCAAGCCACAAGTTGCTGATGACAATTAAGAATGTATGATATCTGGCAAAAGCTGGTATAGCAGATAAAGCAAATGGCTGCCACCAAAGTCCAATCTTTGTATTTGATAGCAGACAATTTTTTAAAAACCTTAAGTAAATTAATATTGATTTTTATTGAAATTTGTATCAGTTGTATCTCCATAAGTGGGTTTACATATGTGGGAATAAGAACTGGACAGTTTCATAAAAACTATATGAAAATGTGGACTGCTATTACGTTACAACATAGCAAAGACAGCAAAGTACCCAATGCACATCATATAGATTTCAAAATGCATTGGGCACTCTTGGTCGTGTCCCAATATACATCTTTGCAATTCACTAACAGGATTTCCTAATGCCTCTGCTACTTAACTAAGTATAAATAAAGTTGTGTTAAGTAAAACATGATATAGGATTCCAGGGTATAATCCTATCTTTCCTTTCAAGACACTTAGGATGCTCACATGGTCTTCCTTCATTCTGTCATTACAATAGCACTGCAAGGAAGACAAGGCTGAGAGATAATGACCAGCCCAAGGTCACCCAGGAAGTTTGAATCTCACTGGGGATTTGGAACACAGATCTCCCTAACCTTTCAAACAGTTTGGGTTATGACTTGAAGTTACTTGATTAAATGCTTCATGTCTTTGCTCAATTAAATTTATATTAATAATTATAATTGTCACTTTTCTTCCAATGAGGTCAAGGCAGGATATATTATTCTCCTCCCCACTTTATTCCACAAATACTGGCAAGTCTTTGAGTAACTGGTCCCTGGTCACTCAGTGAGTTTCATGGCTCAGTAAGGACTAGAACCTGGATTTCCCACATTCCAGTCCAACACACTGATCTCTTCTCCACATTGGATCTTTATCCAACTTGTATTTTTAGACAATTGACATCATTTCGGAATAAGACCTGAACATTAGAGTTATAGCCTGGAAGCTCCAGTTTCAAATCCTGAACTCTCATCCAGAGAGACTAATGTTCCTATTTTATGGGTCAGAGAAAGGACCACACATGTACAATGGAGAATTACTATACTCGCAAACCCATTTCTTTTCATATATTGCATTCAGACCCTCAACTAAACTAAGCTTTAATTCTACTCAAAGTAGCCTCAGGCTCATGAGTTTTCTTTTCCAATATGGCAAAAAGCAGATTTGTTTTCACGTCTGTTTTTAACCAGTTATTCTTCAAACTTGCTCTATTCAGCTATGATTTAAAAAACAGTCTCAAATCATAGATTACAATTCCAGCTGGCATGTTTAAAATGGGTGCCTTCCAGATATTTTGGAATACAATTCCCATAAGATCCATATTACTAGATGGCACCAGATGCCTACTCGTGGCCTAAACTGGAAAGGGAGGGAGGGAAAGCAAAGTGTGACAACATGTACCCTCCACACAGGCTCAGGTGATTAAAAAATAGAGAAAGCTTCTTCTTTTTGCTCCAAAAGGTCCACTAGGGTTGAATGCAAGGTGTTACCATCACATCAAAAGGCCTTCACAGACCAAAATGCTTACTTTTTAAAAATCAAAATATGCCTATTCATGGATCTGGATTTGAGTATAATGGTAAAAGGTGGTTATTTGACTAACAATTTTTAGTTTCATTGTGGCTGATCAAGAGAAATGACAAGGGTGGACATGGCCGCTGGTAGATTCCCTATATGCAGGGTGGTGAGTTCTGAGTTTTATTCCAAAAATTTTAAGGAGCTCTCCAAGATGTTGATTCCATTTTAGTAATAGGATTCAACACATTGCCCAGATCTCTAAAAGTTCAAAGGAAATCTGTGCCAGATTCACTGCCCAACACACAAATGTGAACAGCCACCTCAGAAGTGTCTATGTATACAAAGCAACTCTGTGCCAGATAGAACCAGCCATGTGGCTGTCTTCCTTCCCACTGACATGTTAAAATACTTACTTTCTGTGATTTACTATAATATAAATACTTAGAAGTGTAAGAGAGACTTTTTCAAATGAGAAATCCAAAAAGATGAGCTGCCCTGGGCAGGAGTCTGCTAAGATGCCAACTTTGGCAGGAGATCTTACACGTAGGATTGATGATTCATCCAATTAAACACAGAGGAGAAGAACTGTGCTCCACCTAAGTTAACAGTCTCAACCTACAGAGACCTTCCCATTTTCCTTCATCTGATGATGGAAACTTCTAGTCTAGACCTCCACCCAGCTCTGTTTGTTCTATAAAAGTCACTAGAAATTCACAGCCCAAGGACACTGCAATGCGAGAGTGCCATGTCCGCATAGCAAAGACTTAGGCTGACCTACTTTTGCAAACATGGGGGAATGGAGCATAAGTTTGCCTCATGACTGTGGGGACCTCCAATTTAGAACTCATAGTGAAAATATAACAGTGCCATTGTTGACATATAAGACTTCTTCATACAAGCAAATAGCTGTAGGATATAAACTTACTTGTGTGGGATCATACACCATTAGCCTGTTCTGATATTGTGCTGTATTTGTTACTCCTCCTGTTAACAAATGTTTACAGTTATATAATAAAATAAACACAGTTGGATGTGCATCAAAGCAAATTACCTATCATTAGAAAACATTCCATAATTTTTAACATGTGTTTATAAAACATTACTCTGGCCAATTCTTACTTTCTAGATGTCTTGTTCCTTATTCTAGAGGTGGGTAAATGTGGCCCTCCAGATGTTTTAAGACTAAAACTCACATAAATCCCTCATCGTTGGCTATGCTGCCTATTGGTGATGGGGGCTAAAAACATCTGGAAAACAACAGTTTCCTACTCTATACTTTTGAGTCTAATTGAGGGACAATAATGTACCCCCATTGATTCAAGTGTTCAGACTCTTGATTTTTGAAAGACACAAAATCCAAATCCTTCAGAATCCTGTCATCAAGGCTATGCTCCCTACCATTGGTGTTAATGAAATTAGTCATTTTCCCCATGCAGTCTCATTTTAAGAGAACTGTAGCTCTTTCATATATTGCTTATTCCATCATATGATATACAGTATGTATTTCTTTGCAACTGAGACACTCTCCTTATGCAGGTTTCATTTCTTATACTTGTGAGTATGTGTCCATGTGCTTCAAGCCGCCTACTGACTTGTGGCAACTCCATGAATTTCACTGAATTTTCTTAGGCAAGACAGACTCAGAAGTGGTTTGCCAGTTCCTTCTTCTGGAATATAGCCTTATGCACATCTAATATCCCGGACATACCCTTTGCATCCTGCTCCTCTACTCCTTTTCTTTTCTTTCTTTTTTTAAACGAATCATCTCCCAAAATGAGATGCTATGGATTTGCATACAGATTTGACTACACAAAAATAGAACTGGAATTAATAGCGGTCTCTATATGTTTTAATCCCTCCCCTCCAGCCTCCCTCCCCATTAGATCAAATACCCTTGCCTCCAGCAGAATTCCTGGCTTTGAAAGTCATCAAGCTGATTTGTCTGCTCTTAGATTTGGCTGCCACATGCTGCTACACTGCCCCCTGCAATCACACATTTGCCGAAAGAGAAAGAGACGGAGAGATGCTCCGCCAACAAGTATGTTTTATGGATTGGAAGTACTGGCCCCTCTCCTCCTCCTCCTCTTGCTCTCCCCACCTTCTCCCCAGGGGGATAATATGCATCTTAACAGCTTTCTATAGATTCATCTGCCATTAACTATGCCATTTCCTATCAGCATCAATTTTCCAAACCAAGTTTATCCTAACTTTGAAGTGCTATAATGAAAGTTTCAGGGGGGAGGGGGTGTTAACATCCTACCCAAATTCACATTTAACAAGCCCATAATGCCCCCTTGAGCGACCACTTTAAGAATACTTTAGGCAATAGAGAAATAGAAATAAAATGCCTCAAAAATAATAATAGTGGAGAAATAAAAGTTTAAATGGTACCAGAAAAAGTGATGTTTTCCATCATAAAATGGGACAATCAAAAAGGCAATTGCTTTAACTTCTCTGTGCTGCTTTCCAAAAGGAAAAAAGGGGATGATAATGCTGGCAGAGAGATGATATCAGGATGCATTTAAAAATAAAGTCTATATAATAAAGTCTTTTAGAAGTCAAGCAACCTGTAAATAGCTCATAAGCTTTCAAATCCACCTAGAGAAAAATGTATCAGTAAACGATTGTAAAAAAAAATGGTTTGCCGATTGCTGGCTAAATTTATAGAACTACTGAGATAAATAATTGCGCTACATAAGAGCAAACTGCAGATGTTGCTCCAGTGGTCCATCAACTTTGTATCCTGTGTTTGAAGCCATAAAATACTATAACAGAAGAGCACAGTGTTTCCAGGCATTCATCCGCTCCTTCTTGGAGCTTGGATCCATTCCTTTTTTGTTGCTGACCCCCCTTCATTTTAAAATGCTATTACATACTTATTGCTGGATTTAGCATAAACATTCTCAAAACTACTATACTGGGTGGGCAGCCATACTTCGCCTGCTTTTAAAAACTGTTTGCTTGTTCTCTTTAAAAAAAAAACCCTAGCTGTTTGCCCATTTGTTTGGCTTTTTTAAACAAAAAATAAAACAACTGCATTAGTGGAATCCTTTTATTTGTGTTTTATGTAAGAATTGGTTACCTATATTTATGGAAAATAGGACATATGCATTTTACTATAGAGAGAATGAGGAGGACTAAGATACTACTCCACCGGAACCCATTTGCACTATATGGTGAGTATGATACATTTTAATCAACACCTGTGTTAGCTATTTCACATGCAATTCATTTCTAACTGTTTTTTAATTATATATATTTAATATTTACATGTCCTAGTTTATTATCTAATTGGTTTATTCCCAATTTTAGCGTTTAATTCTCTCATTATAAATTTACTGTTATTATTGAGTATTATTTTGTTTTAGTCCTGATACTGTTTGTTACTTTGTAAGGCACTGAATGTTTGTTTGGTTGGATGCTGCAGGTCGCTTTTGGTTGCTTCTGGTGTGACAAAATCAGCCATCTACAAAGACATTGCCCAGGGGACACCCGAATGTGTTGCAATCCTGCGGGGAGGCTTCTCTCATATCCCCTCTCAAGGCGCTGAACAGACTGCGCTCTGGCACCACGAGATGCACAGCCAACCTTAAGAAATGGGCCAAAAAGTGGAGTCTACAACATGCGAGTGTGGAGAAGAGGAAACCACAGACCACGTATTACAATGAAGTCTGAGCCCTGCCACATGCACAATGGAGGACCTCCTTATAGCAACACCAGAGGCACTCCAAGTGGCCAAGTTCTCGTCAAGGGACATTTAATATAATGCCAAGTTTTAAAACTTTGTGTTTTAAATACATTACAACTGTACCCATGGTTCACTTCTGATACAATCAATCAATCAATCAATCAATCAATCAATCAATAATGTTTGCCTGTCTTGTGCTGTAAACCACCCTGAGTCTCTTTTGGGAGTGGGGTGCAATCTAGAAATAAAGTATTATTATTGTTGTTGTTTTTTGTTGTTGTTGCCAAAAATGGGGTTTGCAGTGAGACAGAATTTCAATAAGAAATATCATCTACTGATGTATAGGGTGCTTAGCTCCATTGTCTTTTGTTTATTGTACATATCCCTCAACATTTCAGAGATGAAAACTGGCCCCTATGTCACCAACTAAAAGCAGTTGCTGTTTATTCGTTCAGTTGCTTCCGACTCTTCGTGACCTCATGGACCAGCCCACGCCAGAGCTCCCTGTCGGCCGTCGCCACCCCCAGTTCCTTCAAGGTCAAGCCAGTCACTTCAAGGATACCATTCATCCATCTTGCCCTTGGTCGTCCCCTCTTCTTTTTTCCTTCCATTTTTGCCAGCATCATTATATTCTCCAAGCTTCCCTGTCTTTAATCTTTAATCCTTGTTTAGATTGATATACAACCTTTCTTTAGTCAAGCTCCTGCTTTCCTGTTGTCCTTCAGCAACTTTATTATTACAAAATGTGAAGCTCGGTGCATAGAGTGCCTTCAAGTTGCCTCTTGATTTGTGGTGACCACCAAGAATTTCACAAGGTTTTCTTGGGAAAGGAAACATAACTTACAGCAGATCTGTTTTTTTTAAAAAAAAATCCTTTTGCAACCCCTTTCTGTCCGAGAAATTTTTATGTGACCCCAGGTATATAGGTATGTAAGATAGGTATACAAATCCAGTATTAATTGATAATGCATCAGTATTTGCAAGACTTGCTAAACAAGCTAGTTTTCCTTTGTGGAATAAAGCTAAAGCATTTTTTGCAGAGTCCACTTTAAACATTGCATGTTATTGCTAACAGAATTGTGTAATAGCTGGTGGTCAAGACCCTGTTTACTGTTGCCAAATTTTCCTAACCCCACTAATGACCCCATTTGGGATTGGGATCCACAGTTGAAGAAACAGTGACCTATAGTACCTGGTATTCATACTGTAGGCTATATTTTTGAGGAAGGAACTGCCAAAACCACCTCTGAATATTCCTCGCCTAAGAAAACAAACACTAAAGAAAGTATTCAGTTATGAGTCACAAAGGGCAGGGAGCCGGAATTTGCTACTAAAATGAAAGTACCTTTAAAGTTAAATTGCATGTATATACAAATACAAATTTAACAATAATGAATCAGGGATAAGAAGGGAATTTTCGTTTGTTAATAATGAGTGGAGGGAATTGTAATTTAATAATACTTAATGAGGAATTAATTTTTAATTAGTTTGAGCTGATATTTAATTTATTCTACATATCTGTAGCTAATTTATGTATTTTTAACTTTTTAAAGACCCTTCAGAAATGCAGCCTTCAAACACATGGCCAACCACAGAACTGGCTCCCAGCGCCACAGCAGCAGGAATAACAAGATCCTGCCACAGCCAGAGGTTGGGTCTATATGGTTCCAGCATGTCTTCCAGCAAAAACAGCGATGAATTCCGCCACAATGCATAACAAACTATGTGTCACCAGTTTCCTCAGTGCTGCTTCGACAACAAAGGGGCTTCTGCTGTTTGTATACAAGCAGTTGGGTACTGATGCTGCAGAACCTTCAGGAGACTTTGGAAATTCTTCCATTTAATTATCCCAGAATGAGCTAGCTTGACGTACTTGGATTTAAGCCAATTTATTCCTATCAACTTCATCTACAAAGAATCCTCTCTTCCTGCCTGCCCTCCCAGCCACCCCCTCCTCTCAAGCCTTGTGTGCAATTTTTGCATTTGCTTTCAGATTAAAAGAGCAGGTTAATCACAGGCCCCGCTTTATTATTATTATTTTTTAAAGGTTGCCAAAATGTGAAGGCAGCAATAAGAAAAAGGAAAAATTGTGATGGAAAATTGAGTGAATGAGGCTAGAGTATTTTCTTCCCTTCAAGTGTTGGACGTTTTCGCCTATATCACATTTACTCATTCAGAATGAGATCATTAAATATGAACCTCTAATGGTTCTAGTGCATTTCATGACCATTTTATCTGAATATCTCACATTTCAAGCAAGAATACCATACAGCAATTCTTTATGAGCTGCACATCCAGATCAAACACTTATCAGAAACTGCAAATTTGATGTACTATAAAGCCTCAGAAATAACACCCAATATTGCTGTATAATGTCCTTTTGACATGTCCCTGTTAATACTGTCCAGTAGAAAAATGATGGAGAAATCATCCTTAAAGCCCCTTATACTATTGTTCCTAAACAAAATATTTTGGTGTTAAATGGGCTTTCGGATATTCACCAAGGAAAAGGTGTAGTAAGGGCCCCATCCTAGCAATAGCAAAAACTACGGGAATAATTAGAAATTATTACACTATTACAAAATATGGTTTGAAAATATTTCTTTATTTGTTAAGTAGAACTTTCAGAGCACATCCTTATTAGTTCCATTTAACAGGTAAAGAAATATATACAAACCATTCTCACTTTGGAAAATACAATACTCATTTTCCTAAATTCACTACAGGTCTCCAAAGGCCATCCGTAGGCCCGAAGTCCTGCCCCCAAGCATTTCCACACCCTCAGTTGTCTTAAAGATCTTCATGAATTTAGCACTGCATACAAGATTTTACTGAATGCTCTTGCACAGCCCCTTTGAGAGAGATCATCATACTAAATGGGCAAAAAAGCCCTTGTGGCATCCAGGAAATATGACTCTAGTTATAAGCCAAAGCGGCTTTGGGGGCTTGCGCCTTTTGGTTAGCCTTCCAGTATATGAGGTGGACCTTTGAGCAACCATGTTAATCAGGATTGCTCTTGAGGGCTTTGATGTTTTGCTTTTGGGGGCTTTGGAGTCTGGGGGCTCAAGTCAAGGGTGACCAATGGCTCCAGCCATTCGTGTAACGAATTGCATACATGGTAACTAGTTAATAAAATTTTCCCTTAGTTCATTGCATTCCTGTTGTCTGGTCTTTAATTTACCTGGTTTGTCAGCAAACAGAATGTTTACACTGTAACAGTGTCTTGTTCTTTAAAGAAAGTACCCACAACAATCCTCAGGCATTCCCCCTTAGTTATCCCTTCATTCTAGGGCAGATACTGGGGCTCTTCAGATGTCTTATTTCTATAACTCATGAGAACAACAGCCAAAATAGTCAATGATGAGGAAGGATGGAAGCTGAAGCAATATTATCTGGAGAGTCACAAATACAACCTCCTTGTTGCACCATTGCTCATAATCATTATGTTAACACATCTTTCCCCTCCATGTCGTCACGTGAACACTAAGCTAAACCTTTCCTAGATATATCACCCCTAACTAACTCAAATGACAATATCAGTTCCTCAAGTTGTATATGGAATAATTTCTACCTGATATCCATAGAAGACCATCCACAACGTATCCTGCATGGCATGAAAGGGACCTGTCGAAGGACTGAGCAAAAGTCCACTTGTTTTTCTTGGGGCAGTATCGCTCCACTGTAGGTAAAACTTGACGCAGTTCATTCCTGCCTCCGACTGCATAGAGGTATTCACCCACTGCTCCAAGGACAAAATGTTCTCGACAGTTCTTCATGGGAGCTATTTCAGCCCAAGAATTATTACGAGGGTCGTACCTACAAGCAGTCCGTACTGCGCATGTGCGTCCTGTAGCATGCTCGACCTCGCCACCTGCTACAAAAAGGAAGTCTCCCATCACAGCAACACAATGGTGGCTTCTTCCTACTGGCATGGGAGCAAGTTCACTCCAGTTTGCAATTCCTGCTATATGGGCATTCTCCTGGTCCACGGGATTGAAGTACCGGAGTTCTTTAACTCGGCAAATCTCTCGTTTTTTCCCACCAATAATGTAAAGAGTGTCTGACTGGAAGCGAGGTCTTGTCCTTCTGGTCTGCCAAATTGGCTGTGCATAGATGCTCTGGTGGTATACCAAGGCCTCATTGATAAGGGCAGTGGTAGTTTCACTAGCTTGGACAAGAGGGTGAGAGAGGGCTACAGTATGCAACGTATCCACATCCATAAGTCCAAACCGAACATACTGGAGAAGTTCATCCATGTATTGATATCGGCAGTTGTGTTCTAACCACCTGACAGCTAGCTGGAAAGGAAAAAAAAAACAAATCAAAAAGTGAAATTATCTACATTATCCACAATTCAGTGTGAGACCTATACATTTGCATTACCCAACTTATCAACAAAAAATTATACTCCCAAATTTCATCTGCTGCGTACATCAAAACATCCCCTTCATCTGCCCTAAAATAATTATGACTATCTGTAGAGTTTATATATGATAATATGGATGAGTTGACTTTTAACTCATTGATGTGTCTTGTGAATATTCAACAGAGAACTGCCTTGCATAAACAGGAAGTGACAAAACATACCAATGCTGAATTTTTTTTTCATAATGACCACATATCTTTGTGATTTTGTATACTGGAATGTGTTAGTTTACATCTGCATTTATATGATTAGGAGAAACTCATGTTTACACAGCAGGAAAGGGATTTTGTACCACCAAGCAGCAGTGCAGATTTTACAGATTCAGTTCCTCCAGTCAGGTAGTACACCCATAGACTCAGAGCTGGCAGGGGCCCCATAGGCTACTGAGTCCAACTTCTTGCTCAACGCAGGAATTCCAACTAGAGCATCTGCAGGTGGTAGCTCTTCAGCCTCTTTTTGAAGACATTCAAAGAAACAGATCCCACCATCTATGCAGGCTATTGGTTTAATTGTTGAACCATTTTTATTGTCAAAAAGTTCCTGTAAATGTTCAATCAAACTATCCTCCTATAATTTAAAACTGTTAGCCCAATTCTGTCACCTGGAGGAGCAAAAGGAAAACCATTACACCTGATTCTATCCTCTCTGGTAGCCCTTTAGCTATTTAAAGAGTGGAACCATGCCACTCTATAGTCTTCTCTTCACCAGACAGAGCATACTCAACTCCCTCAACCTTTCCTGTTTTGTTTTGTTGTCCATACCTCTTATTCTCCTTGTTGTCCTTTTCTGAACCTTCTCCAACTAATCTATACCCTCCCTAAAATGAAGTGCACATAACGGAATGCAGGACCCCAGATGAAACCTGACCAGTGCACAATACAGGCTGTCTCCAAGTTATGAACTAGATAGGTTCTGTACGATTGTTCTTAAATTGTAGGTTTGTTCTTAAATTTGTATGTAAGTTGGAACAGGTACATTTTAAAGTGTAGCTCCAGCCAAATATATCTATCTATTTAGTTTTGAGTAGCATAGGGATGGGCTAACACTCCTGTGGTGTTTCTTTTGCCGTCTGTGCCCCTGTTCAGAAGCATTTTTGTGTATGTCCAGAGCATTTTGACTCAAAGAAGGCAATGGGTAGACTACATGAATCCACAGAGAGCAAAATTTAAGCATATTGAGAAACTGAAAAATATAGGAATTGATGCAATTCACAATGATAATCAAAATGTGAGGAAATCTTTGCTGCTAAAAGCTGGTAGAACAATGAGTAAAAGGAAGCAAACTTGAGTCTGTCTCCAAATGTTTCTGTGTAGTACTGTAGTTGAAAATACTATGCAGCCATGATGGGACCTTGGTAAGCATTTTGTGAATACAGAAGCCATTAACTGAACCTAGACCATGTTATTTAAACAAAATATGTGAATGCAATTTGATTATTCATATACCGTAAGACTTGTTCCTCTCATTTCAAACAGTGATCTGGATCTAAATGAATAGTAGTAGAACTTTTAAGTGCAACAGATTCAAATGGGACACTTGTAACTAGGTAGCTGAAATTGACATCTCTCATTTCATGGACATGAGGACAGTCCCTTAAGATAAGCCCAGTAATCTATATTAGCTATAATTTACTATACCATGGAAAAAAACTAGGATCAAACAATATATAGCAAATCATAGGTGTCTAAAACTTAGAAATATCCAGAATTATGCCTAGGTGTACTAAAAATATATCAACAGTAACAAGGTATTTTACAACAGCTAGAAAGCTGAAAGATGAGACCAAGGTATTCTAATTAATACAGCTGAAAATGTAACACATATGATGTAGCATCCTGTGTAAATTTGACGCATGTGTAAATTTGACAATGCACAACAGCTATAGTCTGTTGGCAGCAGCAAAAGCAAGTTGTGCATTGCGGTTTTGCAATGAGATGTGCAATGCAGTTGTATAGTGTACACCACCACCTATTGATTGACAAGTTGTTGTTCTCCATGAGGCTATGGCATAGTGCAAGTCTACATGTGCATTTACACTCCATTTAGGGGATGTTGGACTGCATCCCAAATTTTTACTAAGACAAATGAATCAAAATACCACTAGAAAAACTAAAGCACAGAAGTGATGGGATTTTGATTCACATGATAGTTCTCAAAATTTGCTGATAGGTATTTGAATGGAAGAAACTCCTTCAGTAGAATCTTCCTACTGATGCCTAATCTAAATGGTCACATCTTGCTTTACTAATTCACTTGGTGGCACACATATAAGACGTAAGAAAAGGGCCCTCATCGATCATAAGGGGGGTTTCATCTAAATAAAAAAAAAGACCATGCTAACAACCAGAATATTAAACAAAAGTCTGAAGTTAGTTTGATATTCTGGTATACTGAAAAACCTGGTAATCATGGTTTCCTGTTCCAAGGAAAGATGAAACTACGATTCATTACAGTCTTACCTATTTAATCATAGCTGATATAAAGGAGGGACGGAATGGACCACATACATAGCCCAAAAGCTCACGCATGTTTAAGCTTAATAAGATGAAATATGATTGCCAAAACATTACTACTTTTTCAAAGCTGTCAGAATATTTCAGTGGTAAACCATGATTCACTAGAAAAGACAATATTAAAGATATAATTCACTAGAAAAGACAATAATGTTTGGTAAGACAGAAGTCAGTAGGGAAAGAGGAACGGCACATTCCAGATGGATAGATTCAATCAAGGTACATTTCTGAATCTGCAAGACCTGAGCTGCAAAGTTGATGATAGGGGGACTTGGAGGTCTCCTACTCACAAAGTCGCCATAAATCCAAGTTGACTTGATGGCAGTTAGCAACGAAATTACATAATAACTTTTTCTATCGTTGCAGAAACAATAGTACAGGCAGTGCCCAAGTTACAAATAAGACAGTTTCTGTAGATTTGTTCTTAAGTTACATTTGTATGTAGGAACAGGTACATTTTTTAAAGTGTAATTCCAGTTGTGTGTGTGTGTATCTTTTAGCTTTGGATAGCATAGGGAAGGCGTAACACCCCATTTGGAGTTTGTTTTACTGTCTGTGTTCCAGTTCAGAAGATTTCACCTTACTTTTTGTCCCTGTAAGATTTAGATGTGGAAACAAGCATTGCTGGTAACACTTTAGTGGAGACACTTTTTCCTCATGGTAACTCTTCCAGGAGTAAATTTCCCTTCTGTGGGCTAGATTTCTCTCATGTCCTGTTGTCTCACCTCCGTTCTTAACTATGAGTCGTTTGCAAGTCAGGTGTTTTTAACTTGGGGCCTGCCTAAGGATAGCCATGGAGCTAGAAGAAATCTGAACAACTGGCATGGGTATGTTTGTTTCTGTGTATCCATGCACAAAGTGAGATAAAGAGGACTACTCTGTTCCAATCTGTCTCCCAAATAGCATTGTGATATTATTGCTGTTTCACAAAAAACAAGTCTACATACACACAGCCCCAACAACATCCTCTGAGACATACCGCTATTTGAAGCAAATAAGCTGCCCAATAACTTTCAACACTCTTATTCTACGTTTTTTTTAAAAAAAAATTACCATGTCAGGCTCAGGTGATAAACAACCACGGTAAAGCAAAGCGAAAATTAAAAGGAGGAGGGAGCATTTTCCTAGATCTGTTGTGCCTTTGAGCACAATCTGAGGGGAAGTAAGGAAGCAAAAAAAAAAAAGGCATGGTGAAGGTCACAGAGCGAAAGAACTTCCTCGGGGCACAGAATAAATTAAATCCCTAGGAAAAAAAATAAAATAAAATGTGATTTCCAGAGTGCAAGGCACAAACTCAAAATGACAATGATTGACAGCCAAACTATATCCATGCAATATCGAAGGCTGCACGTTCTCATTTACCTCAGTGTAGCCAGCAAGCGCCCATTAAACATCCGTCTGATGCCCAAATTAACCTTCTTGGCAAACTGAAAGAGGCACAAACTATCATAATCAACCTTTCATTATCACAGCAGCCTCTAGTTAAAGGGTCAGAATAATTGTGCCATCACAGCCCTGATTGTTTTCAATCAACAGACGGCTGGAGTGACAGCTCAGTGATGGAGTAGTTTGATGAAACCGCACCAGGCCTAATCAGAGCAGATGAAAGGAAGGCATGATTGGTGCAAATGAACAGTCGTGCCTCTCTTTTTCATTTACAATCTGAAATTACTCTTAAATTTACAGGTTCTCTCCCCCCCCCCCCCCCCGCCTCCTTATGAGTACCTCAGAAAGAATATTTGACTTATTATGAGTTCTGGCAGTGCAGAGTTATAAAACACAGGTAGGGTTTTTCCTCCAAATGGAGGCTTGGAGTGTGCGTGCGCGTGTGTTGTATATGCTGCGTAATTTTAACAAAATGCACTGGAAGGAGAGGTGCAAAATGACTGAAGACTTCCAATGACCTCACTTTTGAGCGCTGTTTGATTAGCAGGACAGTTTATTACCACAAAGATCCTTCACAATGACAGGAGAGTTTTGAAAAGCTGGGAGAGTGGGAGGGGAAACAACCGCGGGAATTGATGGGCAGAAATCTGTTCTAAATATTTTCTCCTTCCTAACACATTCCGTTTTAAAGGCTATCCATTTTATACTTTCCCTTTGGAAGGAATAAAAGCAAAAGATTATTTCTGAAAACCAAGTAGGAAACAATTATTACACTCAATATATTAGTTTAGTTTAGTTTAGTTTAGTTTAAAAAAATGAATTGGGTTTCCATCAGATCAAAATTTAGGGCTAGATCAGTTACAATCTCGACCCATTGTAATTATTAAAACAATTAATTATTTATTTGTTTGTTTACTAGCTGTCCTCTGCCACACGTTGCTGTGGCACAGTCTGTGTATATGTGTTTTGTGTG